AGTAGTCCCAGAAGATTGGAAGTTAGCGAATGCTGTGCCCATTCACAAGAAAGGACGTAGGGAGCAGAGTCGGGCAACTATAGGCTAGTAGGCCTTACTTCAGTAGTTGGGAAAGTATAGAATTAAAAGCATAGAATTGTTGAACATCTAAAAACACATGGATTTCAAGATCAGAAATCAGAGATCAGATAATACTAAGATATGTAACAGGGTTGATGTTCCAGGAGGGATATGCCAAATGGCAAATGATTTAGGTAAACTAGAAAAATGTTTAGAATTGTGGCAGCTGACATTTAATGTGGATAAGTGCAAGATAATGCATCTTGGATATAAAAACCCAAGGGCAGAGTACAGAATATTTGATAGAGCCCTAACTTCAACATCTGAGGACAGGGATTTAGGGGTAATTATTTCAGATAACTTAAAGGGAAGCAGACAATGTAATAGAGCAGCAGGAAATGCTAGCAGAATGCTTGGTTGCATTGGGAGAGGTATTAGCAGTAGAAAGAGGTGCTCATGCCATTGTACAGAACACTGGTGAGACCTCACTTGGAGTATTGTACGCAGTACTGGAGACCGTATCTTCAGAAGGATATTGATACTTTAGAGAAAGTTCAGAGAAGGGCTACTAAACTGGTTCATGGATTGCAGGATAAAACTTACCAGGAAAGGTTAAAGGAACTTAACATGTATAGCTTGGAGGAAAGACGAGAGAGGGGGGATATGATAGAAACAGTTATAAAAAACGCATAAAGGGAATCAACACAGTAAAGGAGAAAAAAAAGAAGAAAAACTATCACAACAAGAGGACATAGTCTTAAATTAGAGGGACAAAGGTTTAAAAATAATATCAGGAAGTATTACTTTACTGAGAGGGTAGTGGATGCATGGAATAGCCTTCCAGCTGAAGTGGTAGAGGTTAACACAGTAAAGGAGTTTAAGCATGCATGGGATAGGCATAAGGCTATCCTAACTATAAGATATTTATTATGTTAGATATTTTGCCAAAGTTGTTACTTGGTATGTCGGCAGAAGGTTGAAATCTTGGAGTGGATAAGTCTGAGGACATGCTACAACTGGGCTGCTCACTCGGAATCAAACTTCCCTTCAAAGGCCATAAAGATAGAGCCTTCTATCTATATGTTGATCATACTCAGATTTACCTTACCTTCTCTCCTGACCTCTCTCCTTCTCTCCTGGTGCATTACTGTATTTTATTTATCTCTAACTGGATGTCTCCCATTTTCTAAAATGTAATCTTTCTCAAACTGAACTCTTCATATACCCCCTCCCCCTTCAAATAGTGTTCCTCCATCAATCTACCTGCAAGTCAATGGGACATCTATAACCCTTAAGCGGGCTGCCTTCCACACAAGCATTCTCCTATTCTCCTCATATCCAGTCTGTCTCCAAGTCCTGTAACTTTCACCTTATAAATATTGCCGTATTTGCCATTTCTAACTTAAGATACAACTAAGGCACTTGTTTGTGCACTCATCATTTCCCAGCTTGACCATCCCAGCTCACTACTAATAGGTCATCCAAATACCCTCATTGCTCCTTTACATTCTGTAATAAATGCTGGAGCCAGGCTCATCTTCCTGACTGACCACTACTCCCACACTTCATCTCTTTGTCAATCATTACATTGGCTTCCTGAACCCTTTGGGATCCAATTTAAACTGCTAACACTAACCAATCAAGCTCTCACTAACTCTACTCCTCACTAAATTTTTTCTTTATTCAACAAATATACCCCTTTTTGTTCCTTTCTGACCTTCTCCTGACATCTGCTTTTTCCCGCACTGCCAACTCTAATCTGCAGGATTTTTCATGAACTGCCCCATTCCTTTGGAATTTGCTACCCTATGCCATCAGACTCTCCCCTAGCCTCCAGTCCTTTAACAAGTCGCTGGAATCACATCTCTGAAGGAAGGCTTACCATCTTCCTGGGTGACACGTCTCTCATGATACTGTCCTTATCAGTTCCCTAGACTCCATGGCCCAGCTCACTATCTCTCCTGCCACTGTTAAGTTTCTTCCACTACACCACTTTTACCAACTTATTTCGACACTGGCATCTTATCCATCAATTCCTATCCCCTCCGCCATGCTGTTATTTCTCTTCTGTGTCTTTACCTTTTCCTCATAGATTGTAAGTTAGTTTGAGCAGGGCCTTCTTCACTTCTTGTTTATTTTTATATTCCATACATAAATTTCATTTAGTCAAATATTCCCATTCAATAATTGCAAAGCACTCTGATGATTTCTGTCTGCTTTCTCGCTGCTCTGCTATCATCTCCAAGCCACAGCTGCCTGAACATGCGCACATGTGATGAAAAGGGGCAGGCCGCGACCTCCGACCCAATATGCATCACATCTCCCGGGCAACACCAGGGAGAAGTGCACACTCAGAATATGCTGCAGGACAGAGCAGCAAGTGCGGCTAAAGCCCAAGCTCCCTGGTAGCCCCAAACTCCCTGACAGTCTTAAGCGGCGTGTAAGACGGGGTATGCCGAGCTATTCGGTTAACACTTGCTCACGGTGCCTAAAGGGATATTGGCTATACCTCACTGATAATACCTTACAAGGTTAAAACTATCGTCTGGGGTTGCCATATCTCTCGTGCAGAGGGAACTTGCAGGCATTTTGGATCTGGACTGCCCGTATAGGTGGGACCAGTCTGATATGCTTCAGATATGTTCTCTCTGTAATGGCACAAGTTGAGCTAAAACCAGCTTGAGATCTGAGTGGGGACCCACCAAAGGGCAGGCTAATTGAGCTGTTGTCCGTTCTCACCTCTCTTGCTACTTGTTTTTTTCTCTTTAACACTTGACACCTTCCTGCTTATTCACCTGGATACCTGACCCTTTGCTTGTCTTACTGCTCTTGAACCTTGATGTCTGGATATCTGACCTTTGGAATGTCTTGGCCTTGCCGTTGACTAGTCCTTTCTAGATTGTTTGCAATGAACTTTACTCCATTGTCAATTCAATTCTTTGAATACTACATTCTGGATTTCAGTCAAATATTCCCTAACAAACGCTGCAAAATATGTTGGTAATATATAAATGAGAATATTAATAATACCCTGTCCGTTTCATACAAACTAGGTGGCAATGATTGGCTCAGAGTACTGAGGATGAGTTAGTATGGAAAAGCCCTAGTTGTTATCAAATTGTTTTTGATATTAAATTGTGTAATGGCAGAATGGGCTCTAGGCAACCTATACACTGTTAGCAGTTAAATTGCATAGAGTGTTCTTGTCATTTCCAACACTGTTAACGTCACCTAACAGGACAAAGAAACATTCTTATAAGCTCTGTCCTTTTCTTTCTTTATTTTATTTTTAACCCCTTAAGGACCAAACTTCTGGAATAAAAGGGAATCATGACATGTCACACGTCATGTGTCCTTAAGGGGTTAAAAACAGGCATTGCACCTGTCAGAGAGAACACAGTGAGATGAGAATAAATAATTTCCATTTCTCCTTCTTTGTGCAATGTGTGGCTGTGCCATGACTGAGCTAAACTCCACTTCCAATTGGTAAATCTTTAATATAAATATAAAAAGTAGGATCCCATGAAAAAGGTTGATTTTACTTACTTTATTTAATAGTGCAATTTTTGGATTAAAGGGAACACTATAGTCGCCAAAACAATTTTAGCTTAATGAATCAGTTTTTTGTGTATAGATCATGCCTCTGCAATCTCACTGTTAGATTCAATGCCTTTTAGGATACTTTCCCTTTAAGACTTATTTTGTCAAAGGCTGGTGAAAAACTAATTTTTTTTGTTAAAGTATAACATATAACAACACTGGTAAATCGGCTATGTTCAGCAGATACAGGACAAATCAAAGGGAATAAAAGAAAGTTAATAATTTACCAAGGAGGATTTTTACTACTGTCATATTTTTAATATAAAGTGCTAAGGTGACCTTAGAGGCCACTTTAAAAAGAAAACAGCTGATGCAAATCTACCCACATGGGTACATTGTTGGCAGATGATGTCCATTTTTACAATCTCCAAATAATATACCATTGTGTTTTCATTGTGCTACAGGGCTTGTTTTGTGCTCAGAGATAAGATTTTGGTATAGAACAACCTGATGCACCAGATAGATCTGATCTGTTCTTAGCAGGTATATCTGTTCCAATAATAGACAGGTTTGACAAGTGGGGAATCTAAAGAATAACAACACTTCCTGTATAAAACGGCAAACTGAGTATTATAAACTCCGAATTAGACGTGCAACAGACAAAACTAGACTTCAAGGAGACAGCCACACACAAACATATCTTTGTCATAGTTCTCTCTGTCACTTTCACTGAATCTTTGGCAGAAGACGAAGTATCTCCTGCCAAATTTTCCACTCCCTGTTAAACATATAGTTATTTTTCTGTTCTTAACCGTGTAGGTAAATTACATTTGTTCTCTGTGGTTGGCATGCTGTGATAAGATGTCAAAATGCAGAAAATCCGGTTATGGGAAGAGTTTGGGAAGATGGGGGTAGTTTTAACTTTATCCTGTTCTGCAAGAATTGCCTCGTTTTTACAAATGTCAATTGGTTGAACTACAACTCATACTACTCTTAACAAGAGGATGATGAGAGTTGAAGTCCAACTGCCACTGGAGCTCTGCACTTGCTAAGCCATGAAGGTTATTTTGTAAATTGCCTGTGTTTTCTTACTGGCTGCCAACTCCCTACATATCCCTGCATGGCTGAGACCCTGCCTTTATCCCCTGCTGTTTTCTTTGTCTCCATGAGCTTTATCTGTGATCACAGCTACTTGTAGCTTTGTATCTTTCCCCTGCAAAGTGTTACATTTTGTAAATTAGCTGTGGCTCTCTCCTGGCAGCCCATCTCTGAGCCTAGCCTGTGTCCTACAGCTTCTGAATGCCATTCAGAAGGCCAGCCCCTTGTTTATGCAGAGCCCCTATCTATCACACTTTGTATTTACATGTCGCATTGATTCTCTCACTTTCTTGTTGACATCCTGTTTCTTGGCCATTACATTGCATTTCTCTGCCTATCCAGTCTGCACCCCAACCCAGCCCATCAGCTTGATTATTCTGCTGTCTCTGGCCAGCTCAGTCTCTCTTTCTCCCCTTGAGCGGTTTCTCCCCATTTTGTCCCTGATTTGCTCAAGTCCTCTCTCTCGCAGAGCAGTCTCTGCCCCTCCCTCCGTCCCAAATCTCCTCCCCTTGCTGTCTCTTTCTCTGGGAGTGTCTGCGTGTCTTTGTCTGGGTGTCTCTCAAATCTCTCAAGATAGCTGCACAGCGAAGACCTAGGCGACAAGAGACAGCACAAAGAGAGACAGCCTGCGATCACAGTGAGTGTCCCCAATCACCTTTGTGGATGCAATAGTCCTTTTGTGTTCCTCGTGTACTCCGGCTATAAGGAAATCTCTGTATGTACACTGTGTGTTTTTTTTTTTTTTTGTGAATGCCAGTCTCGTGTATGTATGTATGTATATGTGTGTGTGATGTTGCATTATCTTACTGTTGCTATGTATGCACGATAACATTTTTTAATGCACTGGATCTATTCATATGTGCATCAGTAAGGGGGCTGTCTGATCCTGTGCTGTGTGCCATGCATGCAATGTGTGCCCTTGGGTGTGAGTGTAATGCGTGTACCTCTCTACACCATCAAGGGCCACTACACACATACACACACAGTGGATCGTGTGTTTTTTTGACATCTGTTTTTTTGTCGGAGTACATAGCAGGTTGTTCTCGTGTGGATTTTGACAGATGGCCTGGGTGTCACTGTGTCCTCTGTCTGATGTTTGACTTGCAATGTGCCAGGCAGCTTGTGAATACACCGTGTATTTCTGTCGTGTATTTTTCAGCGTGTGTCTGTCACTGGAAGTGTGCATTCTGTAGTACTGGTGATTGTCAGTGCATGCCCTTGCGTATAAAGTCACACAAGTTTTGCAGTGGCCCCAGGCGGCTTGGTTTATCTGTACCTTGCAAGTCATTGGGTATGCTGTGTGCACCACGAGATACATTACACAAGGCAGCAATTCTAACACACTGAGTCACCAATAACAGCACAACCAGGGTCCATCCACGCACAGCACACACACAATGACATGACATGAATACGGTTTAATACTAAAATTCAATATGCACACAGTAAAAAAAAATCTCAACTTACAAAGTCATACACATATGTGTACACACATTTAACAAGTATAAAGATATATGCTTCAAGTATACTTATGTCTACATTTGTGTGTCTGTAGAATATGTTTTTGTTACATTTGATACGTATCCTGCCCAGTGAATAGAACGCTGCTGCTACTGGTGGAACGGACCACAGTTTCAAGTAAACATACCACCACTGCACTAGCAACCCGCCCACGTTCTGGTGGCCGCACCTTCAAGCACACTGACACAGCCCATGTCCCCTCCCACAAACACACTGACCCACGTGCCTTACGTTTGCTTCAAACGGGCTGGTGCCTTGCTGCACCTGACTGCACACTGTGGTACATTAATATCGACATGGTAGCAAGTGTAGATTTCAGCAGATCACGGAGAATTAAAGAGTACAGGATGTTAAGTGGGACAACCTACTGTATAGTTGAGCTAAAAACCGGAAAATATAGGATTGCCAATTTTTAAGGTAATATGAATTATTATTATTATTATTTATGATGCGCCAACAAATTCCATAGCGCAGTACAATATGTGGACTATCACACATGTATTTGCAAGAAGACGAGCTGGACACAGAAACAGAGATTGTTTAAGGCCCTGCTCAAACAAGCTTACATTCTAGAGGATGCTTTACTATGTTGGATAGGGAACCAACATATACTTCCTTGTGTGAAATAAATATATGTAAACTCTGGTTTATTCACAACACAGAGAACTGAAGTGAAAGTTGCTGGAAATTCAAGGTGGATGTCAAATTTAAAAGGACACTATAGTCATTAGTCACTAGAACCACCACAGCTTAATGTGGATGTTCTGGTGTGTATATAGGTGATACTCGAAAAATTTGAATATTGTGCAAAAGTTTATTTCAGTAATGCAACGTAAAAGGGGAAACTAATATATGAGATAGACGCATTACGTGCAAAGCAACATAGTTCAAGCCGTGATTTGTCATAAGTGCGATGATTATGGCTTACAGCTCATGAAAACCCCAAATGTTTCTTTGCATTACTGAAATAAATGAACTTTTGCACGATATTCTAATTTTTTGAGTATCACCTATAGCCTGTGCCTACTAGCTTTTAAGGTAAACACTGCTTTTTTTAGAGAAAAGGCAGTGTTTACATTGCTGCCTAGTAGCATCTCTTCTGGCAGTCACTCAAGTGGCCACTAGAGGTGCTTTTAGCCCCTCCACTCTCTGTATGGAGGCGCTGAATGTTCCTCATAGAGATGTAGTGATTTAATACATCTCTATGAGGAGATGCTGATTGGCACAGCGCTATGTTTTTTTCAATGGGAAAGCATTGGATTGATGATTTCAGTCATGGAAGTGGGGCCAGCCCAAGGCAACGCTTGCCCAGTGTGGGAAAGAAGGTGAGTTTAAACACCTTTTTACTGCACAGAGAGGGGGACATACACCTAAATAGTTATTTTAATACTAAATCTCAGGAATAAGTGTGTGTCTCCCTGACACTATACTGTTCCTTTAAGGCTTAACAATTTTTATAATTCAGCTATTTTTGCATCAGTTTTGTAATTCTCTTTGTATTCTCACATTACTGCATGACCCTGCAAATTTCAGCAAATTGAAATTTGAGTTGCCAAACTTAGGCACGACTTTGTTATCTGGAATGATTTCCCAGTTCAACAATAGTCACAACATGACTATATTACATTTTGGAATTCTGATTTCAGTTGACTACAATTCTATGTTTAATGGATAAACCCTATTTGTGATTATCCACTTTCACACAGGGAGCACATGAGTTTCACAAACAACTCTAGTACTGTACATTATTTACAGATTCATGTAATTACATTTCTTTTAGTGTCTTAAACGTTTTTAAAAATGTTTACATCAGATGCGAGGAGCTCTCAAAAGTTGGTATTTCTAAAATTCTGTTGGTACAGTAAATATATATATATATATAGCAAATATTCTGCAATACTTTATTATATTGTGTTTGTTGCATGTGATTATTACACATGAATTACAGAGGAACTTGTTTGTTCTTTTTAATGCATATTAATTCTAGGAAACATTATTGACATTTTCACTGGAGATTAATAGCAATAAAAGGTTATAAAACAGAAATCCGTTTACATCAGAAGATGCACTCTAAGTTGGTGTTCATGCATCGCACTAAGCACCAAATATTATTAAAATTAAAACATAAATTTATACTTAAGGTCTAGACAGCTGAGTGTATATATATATGTATATATATATATATATATATATATATATATATATATATAATATAACATGATCTTCTGTCTGTTACAAGGGGCTGTTCACTAAAGTGAGAACTGTCGGTAATTCAAAGTGAATTAAAGGTGCATTTCAACCTTACAGGGACACTGCACACCCATAAAGCTCTTCAACTTGCTGAAGTGCTTTATGTGTGAAGAGTGTGTCCTCGATTTCATTTGCTAAAAGTGCAGATTTCAATAGAAAGTGGCACTTTTATCAGTTAACTTTGTCACACTCCCAAGGCTGTCAATCAGACAACCTGTACTGTTATGTCCTGGCTTGGTTAGCTCAGTGGAGCTAAACTCAAGAGCTGGGCAATTTCTCACGGCACCTGCCTTGCAAAGACTCCTCATTGAACTGCATTGAGAAGTCTGTGATTGGACAGCCACAATAAGTCTGGGAAGGGAAAGAAGGGAAGGGCTTGCATACAAGAGATCTACAGTATATAGATGTACTCCCAAAAACTGCATTAGTAAATGCATACATGTTTTCAGTAGAAGTATATTTAGTAAACAGAGATTTTTATTATATTTTTATGTATTTGGGCAGTGGAGTGTCCCTCTAAGGCCAAAATAGCTGAACTGGATTCAAATATGAAATTCACTTTCAATACAAGACAATTGTCAATTTGGTGAATAACCCTGACTCTCTTTACAGCATCTCTCACCATGTCTATAAAGAAGCTGAATTAAAGAGATACTGTAGTCACCAGAACAACTTCAGCTTAATCTATAAAGTGCCACTATAGTCACCAGAACAACTTCAGCTTAGTCTATAAAGGGCCACTATAGTTGCCAGAACAACTTCAGCTTAATCTATAAAGGGCCACTATAATTACCAGAACAACAACATATGTACTGAATTGCAAACAGTGTAAAATACATTCTTGAGAAAAAATCTCTTTGTCAGCTATAGTCACAGCTTGGCTGTCTTAGACTGAAATATGGTTTTCAAATCACAGCAATTCACTGTTCAGTGAATAAAAACTATAGTTTCAGCAAATATCTGAAATAGTTTATGCAGTAGCTTCAACTGAGATGGGAGAATATTGCAGACGATAGTACATAGAAAAAAACTCTGAAAAAGTAATTAATCTCTAGCAAATTTTGAAATAATGCCTCTATTTCGTATGTAAAAAGAATTATAAACATAAGAATCACAGGCATCTAAGAAAAACTATTTTTCCCAAACAAGTGTTTTTGTTTTCTGTATAGATTCAAGTCCTATGTTGTGCAAAAACAAAAAATAAACTGGATACAAGGAAAGCTGAGCTTAAATTAAATCTGTCACTTTCAGGTATATTTGCATATTTTGCAAAGACCCCTGAAGTTGACTCCACGGGTTGAAGCTTTCCTTTGTGGCTGCCGCCATTTTCTTCCCAGGTATCCTGTCTGCTGCTCTTGCTTCATCTGCGGTATCAATGTTGGACTCTCCGCATGCGGAGGTTTATGGAGGATGGTACCTTTGGATTGAGTTTGAATTTCAATGAAATTCCAATGCAGCCTGCATGAGTATTTCAGAAATATTATACCTTTTTGCAATACTCAGGAGTGACAGTTTATTTTCCTAACAGTATAGCCACTACAGCATATTGTAGTGGTTCTAGAAGGCGGATATGGATACATTGTCTCAAGTTTTTGTCAAACCTTTTTCAAGCACTTTGAAGAAACGTTTTCACTTTTTTTTACACTTCCTCATTATCAATGCAAAATGTTTCATATTCATATTTATTGTTAGTGATGCACTCACATGTACTGCCTGTTATCAACTAATATTTCTTAACATTGTCCTTTTAGCATTACTTTGTTTTTTGTTACTTACATCTCTCAATAGTAAAGAATGTTACTTACATCTCTCAAAAGAAAAGATAAAAAAAGCACACACCACTAACCACCAGGAAAAGACTTAAAAATACATACATCCATAAAAAGCTGGACCATTTTAAGTCTTATTTAAGTAAGGAAAAACTCTGCAGTCATGGGTACAATAATATGAGCAAAGATTTCATCTGAGTAAAATGAGGTTACAATAAACATTATTATGTCCATATTTAACTGGGAATCTTGAAAGGTAAGGTTGCTAAAGGCTTGGCCCAATCAAAGGCTCATTTAATTGAAGAGTAGGAAAAAGCACCACTGTATCCTCAGGATACAGCCTGATGATATTGTGGGTGCAATCCAAGCGAGCGCCTCAGACCTGTATAAGCTATCAATGCTACCAGACCCTCCAGGGTTGTGAAAAGAAGACACTATTTGTGGAGGGGGTTAAAGTAGGGAGGGGGACAGGAACTATATACAATTGGAGAATAGATGTTTTAGGGTTTGTGGCCACAATGATTTGTATTTCAAAAGATTGTTCCAGTACATAATGGTATTTTGTTTTGTATTACAGGTGTCAAAAATACATCATATTCTGTAACAATGCACAATCAAACAGAGAAACAAAAGAATTTACATTTTTTAAATTTAATTTTAAATGTGTTAAATTATATAATGCTTTATACAGATGGCATGAGTAAACAAAAAGGTTATGAAGACACATTGTATGAGACATTTGGAGAAGCTGTAGGGAAGGATTATATGTTATTTGCTCAATGTTATAAGCACCAGTTACGCACAGCACATTTCGGAGACCTAGAGATGAGAACATTCTAAATTAACTTTTGAGCCGGCAAAGACAGATTCTCTTTTAGCCCTTTAAATGCCAGATGGGTGAGTTATGCATCACAGTATGTCCCCCTCCCCCACTGGCACAGAGAAGCTTAAATGGGCTGTCCAAGCTCAAAAACTACTACAGCTGTAGTGGTTAATAGACTGGTTAATCTGCCCCTGAACATGTAGTTTTAATACCATAGCATTTTATGTATTTGTGTCAATCTTCTGCGTCAAAGATCCATCCCCTTTCCTAATGACATCATATGGTTTAGTTCCTCCAATGAGCCATTCAAGTTGTTGGTTGATGTCAGCATCCAATTGCAGTAACTGTTCTGAGGCTGTGTACACAAACATCACAGTTTTGTTTTCTAGTTCTGATCACTGGGCTTGGTAGGGATATATGCCCATCTATGTATGCTCAAAGCAGAGCATTACATTTTAAATTAACAAAGAGGGACACTTTCATTTTAGGTTTGTAACAATTTGTGCCACTAAAATGTAATTTACAACAAGAACAATGTATCTTATTTACATAGACTGATTTCTAAACACATTTATTGTAGTTTAAAGACACATTACTGAGAGTATTATCGCAGTGGTGCTGTGTTATACACTCAGACACACCAACAATATAGAACTCCTCAAAAAAGGACAAATATTGGGATTGAAAACAGGGACACAGTGATTAGGGCCAAAAATAAGGACTGTCCCTCCCTTGGGAAAGATGTAACAGCACGGTAACTAGACTTGTGCAAAAATGTTGAATGTTGACTTGAAAGACCTAATGCTCAATGGGAATGATGGGCTTCCCCGAATGATATAAAGCAGAAAAGAAAATACATGGCTGTGAATTAAAAATATGGATGTGAAAAAATACTACAGCTTCCTAGCACCATAACCATTACAAGTAATAATATGTCCATTTCAAGAACTAATTGACCTTGTTAAAACTTAACTTTACTGGTAACTGTTGTGCATTTGCTTTATTTTACAGTACCTACATGAGTGGTGCACTAACACACCTAGATAAAATATCTATAGCCTCTGTGCTGCAGGTTCATTTCCTGGGGGATAATTCATTGGAGTTTCAATTGACCAGAGATTTAAACATTTTAGGCCAAACTTTCCAGTCTAGAAGATTATCTTAGTTGGCTATTTTGGCCTTTACAATTCACTGTTTAATTTTAATTTATCCACAATTTATGGTTTAGTGAATAAATACTTTAGATTATTATTTAAGTTGGGCAACAGTAAGATAAACTGTAACTGAACATTTGGATAAAAACACTGAAGCCCTTTGAGTAACGTTGTTTAGCTAAGTGACTTAAACCATTATAATGTGAGAGCATGCTCAAATAATGTCCCACATGTTGGATCTCTTCTTTCTATAATAAGGCGAGTGTGTAATTGAGTGTTGCAAACACACACTAATGTACACAGAAATATTCTGAAGGCTGGCCCAGCCTGAAATGGACAATGGATATACAATTCTTGTGGTCTTGTGTGTGTAAACTAGGGAGAAACATTTACAAATAACTTGGTGGAAGTTTCTAAAGAACTCTATTGGATGTACACTTGCCAAACTTAAAGATATATTACACCTACCTCCTCAGACACTCAAAGCACCTCAAGTACTACAGGTTATTGTCAAATCATATTTGAAATATATTTACAGTTGGGCACTTTAGCATCACCAAAAGGGTTACAGCTGATATGGTGCTCAAAAAGTTAATGGTAGTTAGACTTGTCAAATCCTGCATACTCATGCAGATATTACAACTTCATAATAAGATCACAAGCCGTGAGGATTGGGCTATGGGTGCCAAAGAATGCACTGTTTATCTCAAACCACTTGAAAAACTGTTTCAACTACCGGGAGGACTAAATCCATTGACTCCTAGCACCATAAATACAACAATAAGCTACAATTGTTATGGTTCTTAGTGAGTCAATTTAAAATCAATTAAAAACACAGAGCATATATAAGTAAGAGAAATAGAGATATTCATGTCCAAAATGCTCAACACATAGCTCTCTTAACTGATAAAATATTGGTAAGTGTCCCCTAGTAGCCTATAGCATTAAACATAGACTGAAGAGGATATGCTTCATTGAAAAGCCTCATTCATCCCACCTGTTTGATATTTGTAATCCCTTCCCTGTGGCATAAACCTGGACAAAGTCTAGATTAAACACAAGTCCACAGAGGGATCAATGATACACATCAATGGTCAAAAGTCATGTATTTCCAAAAAGTTACATCTCACACTAACTACAAAATAATTTGTAATTCAAGGGACTGTTCATTTTGTTTCTGCACACAGTGTGTTACAGCTGCAGTGAGCATTTTTATTATTACATACTTTGCATATTTTTAATGCATTTTTTATATAATTTGTTAAAATATTCAGGTCATTCCCTGCCTGGAGTGTCCCATGAAAAGATTTCTATTGGGCAAAAAAGTACTTAATTCAGCTGACAATACTGGATTTATGCAAAATTATGGAATATTTTGTGAAGACGATATACCTACTGAGTTGTTGTTGTTGTTCTTTTTTTTTTTTTTGCTGGTTTTTTATGTTTCCTTTTTAGTGTCATAGACATTGGAAATCCTCCACCTTGTGAATTGTGTACATTACTAGTGCTAGTGCACCTCATTTGCACAGTATGTAAGGATAAGGCTAATAAGAGCATTATGGGGGGCACTACACTAGCCTATAAACCCGGAGATTGGTGGCAACTTGCAATCACAGATAATATATTTTCTTCTCTCTTTGGGGTAAGAGCATTGGATCCTGGTTAATATATTGTCCATGGGATCCCTACGCATTTTACTAATTACATCCTCCTGTCACATGATGATGAGGCCATGTAGCTCAATTTATTATTGAAACAAGCCTATATATAATATTGATCCAGTTTAGCCCTTTAGGAAAACCAGCACGTTTCTATGGAGATTGCTCCACTTTTAGAATTTCGTTAGTACATTTTACAAATAATAACCCCTCCTCCACCCCCACACACACACAGAATAACACACATTAGAGCTGTTGCTTAAACAATGTTTGTGACAAGACACATATTGATTTCTTTTATTAAGAGAATAAATTAGATGATCAAAATTAAAAGTTACACTTTTATTATATGTAGAGTCTATACTGCTTTAGAGATATTTCACAACCTTTTACTGCTAAACATTTTAGAAGATTTAGAAGAAGAAAAAAAATGTTTAGAATGTTATACTTAATTCAACCTTCTTGTACTGACAGGGTTAAAAGAAGGATTTTTTTTCCCTGACAATTTTTAGTGTGCCTGCCAGTTTATATCCGTATTATCATAATCTTCTTTATAACATTTTTTCCACTTCATTTGCACAGAAAACTTACACAACTGTTTGTGCAAACTTGTGATCGCTTAACTCCTCAATAATGATTGACGATAAATGTGAACCTTAAAAATGTACATAGTTCCTTGCATATGAATATTGGTTACATTGTTAATAGTGAAATAGACATATAAACTACTTGTAGGAAAGACATACCCAATCCAACCTTTACTTTAAAGGAACACGCAAAACACCATAATGACTACAGCATACTTATGGTGCTGCCAAGAATGATCTGGCACCCTCCAACAGTAAGTAGTCAATCTGTTTAAGAATGGTTTGACAACTTACCTGATACTGATGGGTGGCATGGCTTAGCTCAGTGAAAAAGCAGTTTTTCACTCCAGGCAGAATAACCACTACAGCAGACTGCAGTGTTCATGGTGTTTGGAGTGTTCCTTTTAACAGAGGGAAAATATAACATTAAAGGTAGAATATTAGGTGTCCTAGAGAAGCTTACCACTGCAAGTGGCAAATAGAACCACTAAATTTGGAATCTTGGAAAATAAGTGATGTGATTTTCAAATTTAGGGAAAAATAGATGAGTTGGGAAGATATCTTAACTGGATATTTTTGAGAGAATGTGTATGATGTGTATAACCTTTCCTGGAGAGAATAGGGGCAAAATCAGGCTATACTAAAAAAAACAACTTTTTGATTGGTTGTTTTGTTGGGAGCTATCTGCCATAGCTGTCCTTTCCATGTTTCCTTTTTTCGTACACAGTCAAAAACAGTGACCAACAGAATTGGACATCATATTCCTGGCACCTAGTCACAACTCTTCTGTTCCCTACTAGACCACAGACCTATCCTCCACTCATAAGTAGCTGAGGAAGAACGAAGTTTATTAAGAGATATCACAAAATGGATTTCACGCATGGTTTACCATTAGAATCATGTGTCACAATCTGCGTTTATATTCTTAATATCCAGCCAGTGTCTTTGCATTTACCTTAAAAAGCTTGAAAACTGAGGCCACCTTCCACTGAATTAATGGGGTACTGACACTTTTGCAAATTTTAATTTTACTATGTCTGTCCGTAAAATGTCTAGCCATGGTTTATATAACGAGAACAGTTTGCTCTAAATCGATTTAACTTGGCAAGCAAGAACAGTGGACCGGAATGTGCATGCTTGAACAATGACAACTTCACTGTACTAGTCAGTGGGGGCGCTAGAAGCTGTTGAGTGAGGATTTGTACTGTGTGGCTGTCACATTCAAAATGAGTGAGTAGAGCAATGTATCTGCATAAGTTTTGCGTTAAACTTGAACATAGGATCTATTCAGATGATTCCGAAGATATTCGTGGACGATCCAATGAGTACAGCGCAAATAAAAGTGTGGCGCAAACGTTTCAAAGATGGTTGAGTATCTGTTGCAAGTTTTGGCGCCCTGCGACTTCTGGCTTTTCCAGAAACTAAAATCACCTCTGAAAGGAAAAAGTTTTCGGACCGTCGATGAGATTCAGGTAAATACAACGAAGCAGCTGATGGCGTTTCCAAGAAAGGATTTTGCAGCTGTGTGAGGTCCCAAGGTGCCTAATTTGAAGGGGTCTGAGGTGTCAATGTCCTATGAACAATGTTTCTTATATCTTGTATCTTCTTTAATATATATCTCTATTTTTCATATTACATGGCTGGATACTTTCCGGACAGACTTCGTATTTTCTTATTCTCCATGCATGTTTGTGAGGTCTTAAAAGTAAAATGAAATGTAGAAATCCATACTTCTATAGTTACCTCTATCCTGGAACTGAGACGATAGAGGAGGTTTGTCAAAGTGTTGCAGACAGGTTTGTGCATTTTTTTGGACTATATCATGTGTATTATTTTGGCACAATTTATTATGTCTGTCAGATTTTTTGGTCTGTTGCTTCTTTTTGGATCTGCAACTGTTATTTTTGAATGTGTAAGATTGTTTCAGTGATGCAATGGATTTATCAAGATTTCTGTCCCTTTTCCCGCAAGCACATTGTTTCATTGCTCTTTTTTCATTCACCGTATATTTGGCAGTATTTTCTGAAATAGCTATTTCAACAAATGTCATAATTCAGGCAGAGGAAAGCTCATTTTTGTAAACCATATTTAGGACAATTTAATAAATGTCAACAGAGACCAAAAATTAAGAGACTTTTTCCAGAACACTTTAATAAAACTACCCCATTGTTTCTGGTCTTCCCCTCATTTGCATGGTGTGCCCTGGTTGCTGAATTGCAATGTCACTATTGCCCAAATACAAAATTAACAAAAAATACTGCTTAATAGATCAAGGAAGACATGCATCTATTTAATTATGCATTTTGTCAATGGGGTATATATAAAAAAAAGTTACAAAAATAATAAAAGAGGTATGCAAGTACACCAAAGGTGACTATGCCTCCCCTGTCTGGAGGTAATGGTAGTCGTCCGTTAAATATTATATAGCTAAAAAGAAAACAAAATTATAAAAATGGTATATAACAATATGTATCTAGAGAATTGCAATCTATGAAACACACCCAGTCTGTGTAGTCATAACCCTATAGGGTTAATTCCTATGTCCATATGAGAAAAATCAGACAGTGGTCTCAATATTGTCCAGGATTAGGTAAAAAGAGCTTTATTGGTATGGTTCCAATGAAATATATAAACCAGGAGTATTAGAGTTAATATCTGAGTATATTATTTAGATGAGTCTGAGTAATCCTAAAGTGCAGCTTCCAGTCAAATATCAAAACAGACAGGAGTTATTTAGCAAGTTGTCAAAGTACTCCTTCTAAATACTAGTGGCTTATTAGGTTGTATAGATATGTATCAACAGGTGATGGTAATTATAACACCTAGTCTAACAAGCTGTCCAATGGAACTATTCTGTCTATAGCCAAAAATTGTACTCAGATAATCACAGAAATCAAGTAATGGAGAGGAGAAATAGCAAGAAAGTTCTAATGTCAGTAAATACTGGCATGAATTAATAATGTAGCAAAGCCTCTCTCCCTGGTAATCTTGCTAGATAGACATAGAAACAAAAGGGAGGTAATTATAACATGTTAAATCAAAAGTGAGTCAAAAAATAAGGTGCCCAGTGAAAAAGTGAACACTCAGAGCTTCAAATGCCTGACCCTCGTTTCGGTGCAGTGCCACGTGCAACTTCAGGATGCTGATGCTAAAATTGCAAATTAATACAGTCTGGGTGGAAAGCCTAACTTGGGAAGGAGGCTCTGTTTTCCAGCACCTAACTATTCTGTGATGGCATTTTAGTCTACAATCAAGTGTGCGCACAGCCTATATATTTTTTGTCTTGGTAGCTGCTGTTAAAAGTTGGGTGATGCAGCTAAAATGGGGGCTCAGCAAGATGTAGCTAAGAGGCAGTGCTTTGCATGGTAGTTGGGTAGGCACGAAATGCAAGCTTTGCTGTAACTCTACAAGGTGTTTATGAATGTGCAGGCTGTTGTGTGGTTGACAAACTAATACTTAGCATTGGATTGGTTAATCCCATGGTTTTTCCTAATTGCTTCACTATAAGAATCATTTAAATGATTAAGCAATGTTGGAGCACAAAGGATTGGATTTTCAGAAGCTCAGTACTGACTTCTGGTAAGAATTTAAGAGATAGGAGAGTTTAAAAAAAAAAATTAAATAAATGCATAAGTTTTAACAATGCCTTAACCTATGCATTAAAATACCCATTTTTGCAATAGAGGCTATACCCATAATGGTTTTCCTTGTTCCTTTTTATAATGTAGTAAGATGACAAATACATTCTAAATTATATAACAAAACAAACTGGGGAATATCTTCTTTTTGACCAATGTTTTACAAAATTGGCCAAGTCACCGTTTACTAAATTCACCTCTATGTATGTGATTTTTATATCTTAAGAGCCACATGTTTGCACTCCAATACCTGAGGTGCTAAGGCTAGCCGTCGGCGTCAATGCCCTAAATAGGAGCAGCTTAGCAGGCAGGGATAGTGTGGCAAGTCTGTGGTGTGCCAGATGTTGTGGACAGACAGTGCAATTGTTTACCCCTGATAACAATATAAAATCTCAAAGATAATTTTTCATTGTGTCTTGTCTTTTACACCAGAAATAGTTCTATTTTCTTTTACTCAATGTAAAACCTCTGTGCTCAATAGCCCATCAGTTAAAAACATAGCCAGATGCTTTTGGAATACATGCACTAAACCTCTTATTCTAAAAACAAACATGCCTAGTACGTACAAATATATATCTATATATCCTGGTTAATGTAATGGATTGCTGAGAATTATGAATCAAATTGCATAACATATACTTTTTTTTTATCCATTTATCTTGAAATATCTATCCAGCAGTTGTAAATATATGTCTGTATTGTGTGCAATGGTTTTGTAGTATAAAAAAACATATTTGTTTGTATGCTATTTGTTTTCCTAACGTTTTGTTTCATACCATTTCTATTTCTCTATTGCTGAAATACACACTAGTATTTGTGTGTGCATTAGTATTTGTGTTGCTGTTTTTGTCTCATGGTTTGATCTCATGACCTTCAAGATTTGAAGGGCAAAAGCTGCGTAACTCCTGGGAGCCATGCCACAGCTCCACCCCTGCTGGCAGGGACACACTATTATTGGCAAGGGGGTAGTGCTTTTACCCACTTGTGGCTGCAAAATACCATAATGATGAGACTTGAAACTGTGTTGTGCTGTTCCCTGTAAGAGCTGTATGTCAAGTACGGGAGGAGGAAGCTAGTGCAGTTCTAAGGAAGCATAAGGCAAAGGATTGCCACTATTTTCTCCTTTCTTCCAGAAGGATTCTAATTGGAGAACAAATATATATTCAGTTTGTAGATATAACTATGCTGAAGACCCAGGAACAGGGGTGGGAGGTAATACTTGTTCTTAGCCTACTTTAAAGATAGTGTATTCTACGATAGATGTAGTTAGCAATTATTTTCTTTTAGCAAATACTGCTCATGAGATCATTTGGTTTTACTTATTATTTGCTTGACTTAATCTTCTTTGATTTTGTTTTAACCGGCCGGCTGGCAAAATGCCAGCTTTAGGTAGACCTTAGTAAATACACAAAAACAGAGTGGGACATGGAGAGCTGCCCTCGGATAATTTCTCTGGCTAGGTCGCAAAGTTTGTTATTGACAGAACCAGTGTCAGTTTGTAGTACAAGGCATGTGAATCTGAGTAAGAGCAAACCTGTGTTAGGCAGTGGCGTCTGGTGCAAAAAGTTTTGGTGCAAGAGTTTTTTAGGGCCCCTTATCGCAAGGATGGCCAACAGGTAGATTCATATCTATTGTACAACTTCTGCAATGCTTTGCCAGCTGGGGATCTACCATTTGCCCAACTTTCCAGAGTTGTATTTAGCACTAAGCAGTTGCTTGTGTGTTTGAATATAAGCATGTGTTTGTATGGAGTATGTGAATGTTGGGGTGAATTTGTGTGTAGTGTTGTGTGTATTTGTGTACTGTTGTAAAATACATAGGTGCACATGTATACATACAGATGCACACATAGATACACACAAACAGGCATACATAGAACATGTACATTTTTTAGCCACCATCTTGTTTCCTACCTTTAGGAAACAGGAGAATGGCTCCCTCTTCTCTGCCTCTCCTGCACGGTGCTCTATGTTAGCTGGGAGCAAGTGACCGTCTGTCACTTCCTCCCAGCACTGACATCAGTAAAGGGGCCTGGTCGCACTTTTAATAAGCCTCAGTACTGTATGGCCACTGAGGACACACTGCCATCAGCTGGCCCTTACTGAATGGGCCACACAATGTGCCCTCTCAGGGTGCCGGCCTTGGAGCAGCCGCACGGGCAGAAGTTCCCCCAGTGGTGTAATGATGAGTGTCAGAATATTCAGTAAAAATATAAACAGGGGGTTTGATCAATTCCTAACTTGAACAGTATAACTTATCCCTTGATACTTCAATATAAGAGAGCACAAAGAGTTAGCTGATGAATCAGTATATTCTGAGAAAATGAATTGATACTGTTTTGATGGAGACAACTGACCACCAGGCAGAGCTTCTCTTACCTAGGAACAGGAGACCCCCAAATTGTTCTATATACATATGACTCTAAATCAGGGGTAGTCAACCTTTTAATACCTACCGCCCACTTTTGTATCTTTGTTGATGGTAAAATTTACTTACAGCCCACCAGTGCCGCTGTAACTAATTTTCTAGCGCAAGTTCATTTTTTTTATTTTAGAAACGAGGATTTGTTTAAAAAAAATATGTACTTAAATGTATCTATTTTTTTAAAAAAAATTCTATACTTTTTTTTCTACGTGTGTCTGAGGTGCTGTGTGTGTTTGAAGGGTGTAGTGTGTGTGTGTGGGTATGTGTGTCAGAGGTGCATTGTGTGTGAGGGAGCAGTGAATGTCCAAGGGAGCAGTGAATGTCCAAGGGGGCAGTGATTGTGCGAGGGGGCAGTGCGTGTGTGAGGGGACAATGCATGTGTGAGGGGGCAGAGAGGTGCAGTGTTTGTGTGAAGGGGGCAGCGTGTGGGGGCAGTGTTTGTGTGATGGGAGCAGTGCGTGTGTGAGGGGGCAGTGCGAGTGAGAGTGTGAAGGGTGCAGTGCATATATCAGGGGGCAGTCTGTGTGTGTGTGTGAGGGGGCAGTGTATATGAGGGGTGCACTGTGTGTGTGTGTGGGGGGTGTAGTGTTTTTGTGTGTGAATGGTGCATAGGGTCTATGTTTGTGTGAAGGAGCAGTGTGTGTGTGAGGGAGCAATGCATGTGTGAGGGGACAGAGGGGTGCAGTGTATGTGTGTGTGTGAAGGGTTCAGCGTGTGTGTGTGAAGGGTGCAGCGTGTGTGATGGGAACAGTGAGTGTGAAGGGTACAGTGCATATATGAGGGGGCAGTCTGTGTGTGTGTGTGTGTGAGGGGGCAGTGTGTATGAGGGGTGCACTGTGTGTGTGTGGTGTGTAGTGTGTTTGTGTGTGAATGGTGCATAGGGTCTATGCTGTGTGTAGGTGTGTGAGATGTGAAAATCTATCTTAATGGCTCCTCCTCCCTTATTCTTACATTCATCAGGGAGGGGGGACATAATGCTGCAAGCCCTGGTGGTCCACTGGTGGCATGTCCACTTTAGCCCTTAGCTCCTCCGGCTGCAGGCTAAGTCTCCGTTCTCCTGCGAGCACAGCACTGTATAAAGCATTGCCATGTTACGCTCTGACCAGCCTGCTCGCGGGAGGAACACAGAGCCTCCGAGGCCCTTTCCTCCCTCTGAACAAAAGATCTTTGATCTCCTCACCAGTCTGAGAGGGCTTTCAGCAAGGCTGGCTCTGCTTGGGCTGGCAGGGGAGATGAAAGGATCTCCCCTGCCAGCCTTGGTACTCGGCCATCGAGGCCCACTGGGCACCTGAAATCCCAAACTGCCCTGTGCCCACCCAAACTAGTGAATGGTAGGGACCAGCTTGACTACCCATGCTCTAAGTGGTAATAGGAGAGCTGTGACCGTGAACATACAACTGTTCTCACAGTTGCCTTTTCTTAACAAAAAATATATTGTGGAACGTCATTGACCCAAGCTGAGTTTATATAGAAGACATCAAAGGATCACTATAGTGTCAGGAAAACAAACTCGTTTTCCTGACACTATATAACTCTTAGGTCCCCCCTACCCTCAGGGATCCCTCCCTTGGCGCTGAGGGAGTTAAAACCCCATCAGTTACTTTAATCCGGCCCTGGTGACTTCTCCTCCCCCGCCGACGTCAGCTCCCGAGTGGAGCAGAATGCGCGCACGGCTCTTGCTCTTTCTCAATGCTTACCTATGGACGTTCTGCATCCAGCGTCGCAGAAGCGCCTCTAGCGGCTGTCAGGAAGACAGCCACTAGAGGCTGGATTAACCCTGCAATGTAAACATAGCAGTTTCTCTGAAACTGGTATGTTTACATCTGAAGGGTTAAAACCTGGGGGACCTGGCACCCAGACCACTTAATTGAGCTGAAGTGGTCTGGGTGACTATAGTGTCCCTTTAAGTTAACAGGTGGCAAGTAACACATAGGGCCTCACACTGTTCTGATTGAGGACTGGGGTGGACAAAGGATTCCATGTAAGTTGTAACTAAGGATTATGTAAGTGTTTATGTGCATTGGACATAGCACGAGGATGTTGTGCCAGAATCCATAGTGGTTTGACAGCGTCTGGTATCTGTTATACAGGATGCAAGTTGTGATAGCCACCGTCGGATGCTTTTTTGGCAGGATAATCGAGGGCTATTATAATGAATGTTATTACATTATGAACAGCTTGTCGATCTAAAGTGAAATCTGATTTCCGCTTTAAATCCAATTAAATTTTTCCCACTTATGCAGCAGAACTGGAAATCAGTTCAAGTTGGGTTTGTTTTGACTTCTTTTGGATTAACAAAAAATATACTTGATTCTACTTCAGTCTATATTATTATGTTAGTGATTGGTTTCTATTAGTAGAATGATTACTGAGCAGAATCCTTTCCCACAGTACTACACCTCGTCAAACATAAATTGAAATTCTATTCTCAACAGCCTTCAAAATTTTTATTTCATTATTAATATGAGCTTCTGATCTTTATTTCCTGTCTTATTCTTTTTTAATGATTGAGATATTGTTTTACACTACAAAACATTCAAGGTTAGTCATTTGCTTGTGTACAATTGTGAAATTGGCATCCTTTTTTTACTGTGGCTGTCCTAGCTTTCTCAGGTGACTGATGCTCCATTAACATTTTTCGAAGAAATGGCCTGTTCTGTGCTGTTAGGAATAACCCCAGATCTCCTTACATGATTGTAGATAACATTTTAATTTGCTACTACATATCAAAATGTACTCTTTGAGGGTTATAGGAGGTGAGGGGAGGTGAAACACCAATGGTGTCTATAAACAGATCAGCAGGCCTGAGGTGTCAGATTCTGTAGTACAACTCTATGTGCCCACTACTGTCACCGTCAATAAATAACACTTATTGGCACTGTCTACTATTTGCTTCAGTCAAGTGCTTTACAATATGTGACCCACTGTATTTATTTTGCAGGTTTGGAGATGTCTGAGCTCCAAGAAGTCCAGATCACAGATCTTCAGGACCCTTTAAAGGTCAGATTTGAATTCCTATGTACTAACAACAGCCAGTGACCATTCCATCCTTAACTCACATCTCTAAATGCTTACCTCTTTGTTTCAGGCAGCCGAACTTGCTGCAAAATTACTGCAAGTGCAAGAGCAGGTATGTGCCTTGAATACATATGTATATATTGGAGCACGTAACTGAGATACATGTATGTGTATATTTTCTTGTCTTGACTGCTAGCCAGTATGGACTAGTGGGGACCAGTTGTTGATTGTGGCTCTAATCTGTTAATTTATCAATATTTACTTTAGTTTGTTCTTTGGCCACAGCCAAAGATTGGTCACTCAAAGCTTTTGCTTTCAGCAAAATAACATTTTATGAGTGTTGGCCCCACACTAGTCAACCTAAGGCCCCCAACTGGGAAAAAAAGCCTACCACAAAAAATAAAAAAATTAAATATTGATAGTTGTCATACTAAAAAACAATAGTAGGTAGTTTTAGCAGCCCAAATGCTGTTTACCGTCAAAAGACATTACTGCACTGCTCAATAAATTCCATCTACTCTTGTACATAATTATATTCCTTGTGATAAATATATAATAAAAATAATTTTTTATTAGGCAAAATTTTCAGTTGTTACACCCATGTTGCTTTGTACTCCTATTATCTTTCATGGTGTAAAAAGAGTATAAAAAGAATTTAAGGAATTTTATGTGTTTATTCACATTTTATGTACAGAAGCCCAAATGTTTTTCCAACTCGATTTTTACTATTTGTCTGAGTTGTTATCTCTAGAAAACAAGTTGGTTTATCAAGATAGAAAGTTGTTTTCTCTAGATAACAAATCAGGAAAAATATCAAAAATACATGGCCTCTCTGGGCTTCCATTTTTTTAAGTAATGTAAATATATATATATATAATTTTTTTTAAAAAATGTCTTTAATATTATTAAAGGGACTTTCCAGTTGACCTCCACCTCTATTTTTATTGTATAATGGAGATAGTGGTAATAGTGCATTAAATTACAGATGCTCATTTAAAGATGTATAACACAAATATGCTGCTTAAATTGACTAAGATTCTAAGCGTATTATAATTCTACAATTGTTTTCAATTAAGTTTTTACACATATACCACAAACCTCTGTCCATCTAAGGTTTATGGGATAAATAGTAAGGACGTTACAATATGAAGAGTTTCATGAAGAAGATGGCAACTAGACAAGATTAACCCACTCGGCAAGCTAATAGAGATTGAAATACACTCTGAAGGAACTTTAGTTAAATGTGAAGCTGCTGTACATATTCTTTTACACTAAGCTACATGAGACCCTGTATTGGTTACATTGCATTTGTGCATCACCCTGTGGCATCACAGGCTTGTTTTTTATACATCAATGCAACTATTATAGAATTGGATGAAGACAGACAATAGCAGTGATCCCTTTGAATCCTAACATATGCAAGCAGCATAAGTGATTATGGTTCTTGGCGTTTAAAATTTTCATTTTAGAATAACTTACTGCATATGCGTGTGGCTGTCAGCATGTGCAATAGGATTATTCTGCATTTAAAACTAGCTGTCCTGAATAATCATACTCAAAGATACATGTGTACATGTGAGAGTATACCAACAAACAAACAACTGTTTGGACTCCTATTCTGTTTGCTGCACATTCAACATTTCCTCAGCTACTCTGTTTTTCTAGCGAAGTTTCAGATTTCTTGAAGAAGAAAGACTGGAAGGCATGCCAAAGACTGGAAGGCATGCTGAGAGATGTAGCTCCTAATATACTTAGAAACAGATGTTGGGTGTAATTGCGTGCACTAGGAGTTAATATCACGGCAATGTGTTGCTACTATAAGAGGAGATGTTATATGTAGTGTTGCATAGCATTGCCTTGCATTAAGCGTTCACATATATTGTTATTGCTTTGTGTGTTTATTTATTGGGATTTGTGTGCTAAGTGAATAGCATACATGGCATACATGCACTTATTTACCTTACTTGTGTCACATACAGTGTGTGTATGTGTTTTTCTTGAGTGAGCTCATTCCTATTCTCTGTGTGTTTCGTGGTGTAGAAGCACTCTATCGAGACTCCCTATGGAGTGGTGACAGTCACGATTCAGGGCACCCCCAAACCCAAGCGGCCTGCAATTTTAACATTCCACGATGTGGGGATGGACCGTGAGTACAGAAGGCTGTCTGTGTCCTACTGACTGTTGTGAATGACTTGTGTTCACATTGTCTTTGTTGTAATATGTTAGTCTTTGTCCATCTGTCTGTGTTTGTTTGTTTGTTTGTTTGACTGACCACTGTAGTTAGCTTACCCACTTGAAAGCAGCATCTATAACACACTTCTTGATGGACTATGTCTCACTGTTACCTGTGACCTGCCAATGACCGTGTTATTTCCTGATTGACTCAGTCTGGACCTCTGTGTGACTCATGGTAACCTTGGCTCATGTCTAACTCATGCTATCTATTTTTTTGTTTTAAATTTTGTGAGTCTACAATAAACTGAATATTGTTTATATTGACAGTGACTATATGCATTATATTCACATCTACAGGAAATTCTAAACTGGCTGCTGGAGCACAGTGAGGTCCAGCAAACCTGTAGTTTACATCTATTACGCACATAGTTTGTACAATATGCACAGTATCTCAGCAGATGCATACCATGACACATTTCTACTCGTAGTGTTTGTTAGGCAAGTAGCACTTGTTATATATTTTGGTGAACATCCATTCCCTAAATGTCTCGTTTGTCTTGGGAACGCATACCGCACATTTTAGCCAGGTAAGGGAAACAGCTTGCCTGGCATTTCAGACAAAAGGTACCACATGTAAGTTGGAATGGTAACCTCCATTCCTCTTTTAACATGATCAGTAGCAAAATAATATATAATTAGAAGGAAATGGCAGTGTGTTACAATTCTATGAAGTATCTAACATCAGGTGCATTATTATCTACACTGGTTGTACATTTTTTGTGGCATCTAATTTCAGCTTTCACACAATGCACCCATTAGATTGGTCCAGCTCTCCATAGAAATATGGTACCTATATCAGAACCAGGTATGACTGTATAGGTAATGCCAGTGACAGTAGCATGTGAGGTACTTTGTGGTGCTATTGTTAGCATATAAAAAAAAACATGCTGTGGAAAAAAAAACATACTCTATAACAATGCCAACCCTACAGACTTATACAGGGTTTTTTGAGGAGATAGGCATTTAGGGGGGGGAAAAAACCTTTATTTTCCCTTTAGTCCAGTTAACTCAATTTTCAGGAAAAGTTATATATTATTTCACTTCCAGTTTAATCTAAAATCACACGCTTCTCATTTTCTGACAGTCTAATTCCTTGCAATTAACTGGCATGATTTTCTTTTTCTTTAATGTACTTTTTTTACACTCTATGAGTCAATGTGATCATCCCAGAACTTTGTCTCATATTCTTTCCTAAAATCTGTGTCCTATGTGTATATTTTTGCACTGACGTTCTCTCATTGTGCCTTCTCAGACAAATTGTGCTTTGACACACTCTTTAAGTACGAAGATATGTGTGAAATTGTGAAGAACTTTGTTGTGTGTCACATCGATGCTCCAGGACAAGAGGAAGGAGCCGCAATTTATCCTGTTGGGTGAGTTCTGTACTGCATTATGATTGTGTTATTTAACCTGAACCTTCGGAAGTTATCGGGCTGTGTTTCTTATTTTCCTGTTTCTTTCAACTACTTCCTAGTTATATCTTCCTTTCTACATGAGTTTCTCATTCACTCTCCTATTCACACAGATATCAGTACCCCTCCCTCGATCAGCTGGCAGAGACCATCCCATCTGTGCTCCAATACCTGAAGTGAGTGACCATAAGTTACCAAAATGCACACATTAACATCACTTTTTATAGAACAGGTTTAACTTTGTCTTTTTATGTTGCAGCTTCCCCAGTATTATTGGAATTGGAGTCGGAGCAGGAGCCTATGTCCTCGCTAGATACACAGTAAGTGTCACCCTTTAGAATACACTTCCATGCAGAGGTAGAGACCACTCATGGGGTAGACAATAAAATAGAGATTAATAGGCAATACATTTGAGACCAGTACATGTATTATTTTATCTATGACTGATGGAAAAGTATACATGCACAAATAATTAATATAGTTTTAGGTGTTTTTTTTTTTTTTTAAAGTGTCTTTTCTACAGTATGCATCCATTAAAAATGTGTTCCTTGCAACCAGATTATGGAATGCCACATCTTAAATGGACCACATGCAAAAATGTTCTCGTTGTAAACCATTTTTATTGTGTTTTTAGAATGTAAATGAAGGAAATATGTGTGGCAGGGGGTTGTAATAATATACAGAGTACATGTACACCAGAATCTTGAATGCCATTAGCTAATCATCAACAATATTTAGTGGGTCTTTCTCACCTCTTTTGAGTATTTCATAGAGATATCATCTTTGTAAAATATTCATATTGACTGTATTGATAAATCCTGTAAAAGGTGACGCTTCCATCCCACTTGGATTGGTAAGTCACTTTATTTTATATTGTATATATAGCTTATTTGGTTTTATCACTTGTTGATCTTGAGAAAGACCCATTTTGGGGTCGAAACGTCGATCGGGACAGAGTGTAAATTTTTTGCTAACATGCAATAAAATATACCAGTTTTTTTCATGAAAATTCCTTGAGTGCACCCACTTCATTTTTGGAATTATATATATGTGTGTGTGTAAGTGTGTATATATATATATATATTACATGATGGCACTCTCAGGACTTTCCAGTAAAACTTAACTTCTAATGTCTTACATAAAAATCTACATTTCAGCTTGATATCCTCGAGCTTTCATATGATGAAGCTTGAGGATATCAAGCTGAAACATTGATTTTTGTTTTCTGCATTTGTAAGTTCATCTAAGGGTTTAGATAGGATTGTATGAGAGCACCGACTGACCGGCTTGGAGTTGCTACCAGCGGTCATCTGCAACAAATCGTGAGCGAGATCTAGCTTGCGCTGAGGCGGCTTGAGAGTGTTATGTATCATCTTAGTGATTTACACAGATTAAATGGAAGTAGCATTCCACATACCCTCACGGTCCTAAAGTGAATTTAAAGTATTTCTTAAATTGTCTTAAGTAAGACTATTTCCAGGGAAGGGAGAACTAGAAATACAAGCATATATACGTGAAATATGACTATTCTGGACCGGCTGCAGAGGCTATGAATGTGTTTTTTCAGGAGCACATGGCGCTCATTGCCCTGATGAGATTATCCATACCAAATCACCTTACCAGATAGTTTACTCAGTCACAACTCACATGTAAGAAGATCTGCCGTGTTTATTCGTCATATGATCTGTAGAATGTGCAGTTACGACAGGTAAAAGAACAATTCTTCCATACAGGATAGCAGAGAAACAAGTCACATATGAATGTACAGCATAGAATACACTAGAACAGAAAAAAGGCGAGAAGTACCAATTCTTAGGTAACGTCAGTGGAAATTGAGTAGGAGTTTTCGTGAAGAAACCTTGGAGGCGTCAGCCACAAGCAACCATGGAGAGCTGCTGGGGATATAGGTCTTGTCCCATAATCAGCAGGATTAAGGTCCGTGGGAATATAATGCCATTGCTTTGGCAGAGAGAACCTTCTGATACATTCTACTCGATTACTGACATACACGTAAAATTGTTTGGTTTGGTTGTAAATGTATCAAAGCACTATCTTACTGTCTGTGTAAAATGTGAAGGAATCGATTTTAATGTCCATTTCACTCTTTATGACTTCGGCTATTTCCACGGCTAGCACGGCTGCACAAAGTTCAAGTCTGGGTATGGTATGTGCAGGTTTTGGTGTTAGCTTTGCCTTGCCTAGAACAAAATTGCAATGTATGTCTCCATTGATCCCTGAGGTCTTCAAATAGGCCACTGCAGCTATAGCTTCAACTGATGCATCTGAGAAAATATGGATTTAGCGGCTGAAATGGAGACTGGGGCATAGCAACGTGGAATTTGGAGCTGTTCTAGTGGCTTCAGAGAACCTCTCCATTTCTCCCATCTTTGTTGTTTCTCCATGGGTAACGGAGTGTCCCAATCTATGTTATCAGTAGTAAGCTGTCTTAGAAGCATCTTACCTTGGGTGGCGACTGGGGCTATAAATCCCAGTGGGTCGTAGATGCTATTCACCATGGACAAGACTCCTCTCTTGGTAAAAGGTTTGTCACAGGTTGACACTTGAAAGGTGAATGTGTCTTCTTTGATGTTCCACAGCAGACCTAGACTTCTCTGCAAAGGAGGCGTGTCTGACCCAAGGTCAAGGTCTTTCACGCTGGCAGCATAGTCCTCATAGTGAAATGCATTCATTAGCTCTTGGCTGTTGGATATAATCTTGTGGAGTCTCAAGTTTGCTACGGATAGCATCTCCTTTGTTCGGGTGAGAAGATCAATTGCTTCTTTAGCAGTAGGAAAGGATTTGAGCCCGTCGTCTACGTAAAAGTTTATTTCGACAAATTGACGAGCGTCGGATCCATACTCAGCTTCTCCAAGCTGGGCTGTCCTTTTTAGTCCATTGATTGCTACAGCTAGGGAAGGGCTGTTCCCAAACACATGCACCCTCATTCGGTAATCAATTACCTCTCTGTTGAGGTCATTGTCCTTGTGCCATAGGTAGTTTCTGTTGTCTTCCTTGACGATGAAGCAGTGGAACATTTGTTGAATGTCCGCCATCACTGCAACAGGTTCTTGTCTAAAACGAATTAGGACTCCAATCAGGCTGTTGTTCAAGTTGGGCCCTGTGAGGAGCATGTTGTTAAGTGAGATGCCTTCATGTTGGGCACTGGAGTCAAAGACAACTCTGATTTGGTCTGGCTTTCATGGGTGATACACACCTAAGGAAGGGAGGTACCAGCATTCTTCTCCTTCTTTCAGTGGAGGTGCGGGTTCAGAATGACCTCTATCAAAGATATTCTGGATAAAGTCTACAAAATGAAACCTTGTTTTCCCGTTTGTATTTTGACCCAATTTGGATCCACTTTTCTCGTAGGCCATACGGAAGCTTGTAAATGATGGGGTCAGTTTTGGCAAGCTGGACTTCGAGAAGAAGGTCACTGAGTCTCTGGAACTCTTTATTGTCCTTACCGGATATCGTTGGGAAATTTTCCAATCGTTTGAGCAATGCATTCTCTATGGCTTCAGGACTACCATAACTCTGTTCTAGACGCTCCCATGCAGCGGTAAGACCTGCAGTTGGATTGTCGATGTAGACTGACCTGAGGCTCTTGACACGTTCTGTAGATTGTGGGCCAAGCCACCTGATCAGCAGATCCAGCTCCTCAGCAGCAGTAATACCAAGATCACCTATAGTAGTTTTAAAGGCAGCTTTCCAGCTTCTGTAATTTTCGGGATGGGCATCGAAGCTTATTAGGCCTGACTTGGTGAGCTCTCGTCGAAGTATATACTTTACGAACTCTGCTGTATCAGTTGCCTCTGACTTTACGTAGGAGGTCACTGGTTGAATGTTGCGGATTGCGTTGTTTATGGTATTGTTGTGAAAAGACTTCGGAAGATATGGTGCAACAAGGGGGTTCAGCTGAGTTGTTGGGTTAAAGTCTGGAACGGTACTATTAGCAGGAGGTTGGTGACTTGCTTGCAGATTGGCGTGCAATTTTGTGACGTATGCAGAATCAGCATGACAGTCAGGCGCTGCACTGGGGTGGTTTTGCATGTAGGAAGTTGCTGGAACAGCTTTTGCCTGGTGGTGTGGTGAAGTCCTCGCGTTGTCGTGCAGAATGGAGGCAAATGAGTGCTCGCTGCTGTGGTTTAGAACATAGTTCTTAGTGCGTTCGAATGGATCTTCCACATCTGCCTTGACGCTGACCCTTTCACTAGCATTATCATCTGCACCGATAGCTTGTTCCAAAATCTTTAGTCTTGCTTCAGCTGCCTCGTAGTTGCTCTGTTCCTTTAAAGCTTCAATTGCTGCTCTTTGACATGCTGTCTGAGCTTCCATTGCTGCCCTTTGACGTGCTGCTTTAGATGCTGCCTCAGCTTCCATTGCTGCCGCTTCGGCTTGCATTGCTGCAGCCTCAGCCTTCATGTCTGCTCTCTTTTTAGCATATACAGCCTGTACTTTGCTAGCCTCTGCTTCGGCACGGGCATTTATAAGCTGTTCACTAAGCGTTGAGTGCCTTGAACTTCGGGATCTAGAGGACGTTTTAGAATGTCTGGTGGATACGGATCTGTGAGATACGGTGTCCTGTGGCTGCTTTAATTTTGCTTCTGCCTTTGCTTTAGTTAGCAGGATAAAGCTTTCTCTTTCCATGTTAAGAAGCTGGACGTTGTTAAGTTGCTCTAATGATTCCTCAGTGTTAATGTTTTGCAGAATAGTTATATATTTATTGCTTGTAGTCTGGTACAGTTCTTATGAAGCAGAGAGATGTTTTATGGCGCCCTCTAGTTGCAGTACCTCATGGCTGGGACATGAAATCACATCAATGTAGGTGAGGATTTTATCCCAAATCTGCTTCAAACTGGTTGCTAGTTCAGTTTTCATGGATTCATAGTTCTCTTTAACCTTCCATGTGGGTTTCACAGAGCGTTTAGCTAATGCACTGGGCTCTGGGTCCTCATCCTGGCTTTCTCCATGTGGTGTATGCTGTGGTGTTTCACATACTGAGCCCTTTCCACTCATGATGGCCTGAGGTACACAGGCCTGGCTGTAGCAGTGAAGTGTGTATGTGTACTGTGTGGGGCTGTAACAAGCTGTGCTGGGGTTGAATGCAGACTTCTCATACAATACACACAGTTACACTTCGCTATGATCTGTCCTGTGACACAGCAATCTCTGTACAAGCTGCTGGATATGTTCTTTTACTATTCTGACCGGCTGCAGAGTTTATGAATGTGTTTTTCAGGAGCACATGGCGCTCATTGCCCTGATGAGATTATCCATACCAAATCACCTTCCCAGATAGTTTACTCAGTCACAACTCACATGTAAGAAGATCTGGCGGTGTTTATTCGTCATATGATCTGTAGAATGTGCAGTTATGACAGGTAAAAGAACAATTCTTCCATACAGGATAGCAGAGAAACAAGTCACATATGAATGTACAGCATAGAATACACTAGAACAGAAAAAAGGGGAGGGGAGTACCTGGAGCAGTATGCAAACTATGGAGTGGCCCAAGGGACAAACTTAAGATGAACATTAAAGAAACAGTACATTATAATAAAACAATATCATGTAACATGACAATGACCTGTTTGAAATGAGGTGTGTAAACATTCATACTCAAATTGAGTGAGGCGTTGGCAATCACTCTCCCTAATTTTGATTTGGTTCATCAACTTACAAATAGCAGAAAGTTTTGAAGGAGGCTAAAGATGACTGATACTAACATTTTAAAAAAAACCTTACCCTCCCATCCATATAGATGTGCTGAGAGATTCCTGCATCCAAAAATGATTTAAAGTCTATAGTTTATAGTTTGCCTGCCAGGAGGGAATTTATAATTGCAGAGAAAAAGGATGAGAGGGGAGGGGGAGGGATACTATTTTGTTCCACAGTGTAATGGAATAAAGAATTGAAGGGCACTTTTAGGGGTAGGAGACAACGTTGTTTAGATACCCAAATATTTATGGATAGAGTGCTCCAAGTCCTCTCACTGCATCTCCCCAGTCTAGGTGCTGTCCATATGTCATTGGTGCACTTGTCTGGACTGAATAGTCATAATAACGTTGGAAAGGCCCTAATCTCCTAGTTGTGAGCATAAAGAATGCTAGGTATAGTCTAGTTTATGTTGCCACCTGATTAACTTGCTTGTCGTGTATTGTAAAGAAACAAAATCTGCTTTGACTAATTGGATTGGTAAGCACTGAAAGAAATATATGAAGTGGTGAAGTGAGTTTATCTTAATTATACCAATGCAACCAAGTATGAATAAGACCTTTTTAATAATCACTTTTTTGGTTTTGACACAGCTCATAATCTCACTAGTCCACTTAATCTTGTGACCGCTTTATCCCTCTTTTCTCTGGAACACATTCCTATTGCAGAGCAGCTGATACAGTCGATCTTCCTACTTCTTACAGTCATCTTCCTCAACCTTTGTTTTTGTCATTATGGTCTTCCTCTCCATTTTGAATGCCCATCACTTACCTTGTACAAACATATCTTCTTCTCTGCCATGTGATATTTTCCTGCATTCTCATTCTCATACTTGCTCCATCTCATTTCTGGAGTCCTCACTGGAACCTCTTGTTCTTGTCACGTATGTTTAGCCATCTTTATTCTAATCTGTAGTAGAGACATGTCTGGCATAGAAGGCATGAGGCAGACATCTATAATCTTTAGACTCTCACTCCGTAATCTAACTCTCTGCAGAATAATGTTACCCTTTTTCTTACTTGCTGTTTTCCCAGTTTTACACTCATTCTATAAAAAAAAAAAAAAAAGACTCTCTACCTCCATGTTCATATATTTCGTGTTCTTTATCTCCCCAGCTTTCTCATCCCAACACAGTGGAAGGTCTTGTCCTTCTTAACATTGACCCTAATGCCAAAGGCTGGATGGATTGGGCAGCACATAAGGTAAATATTTTTTGTACTTTTGTGACACATTGTCTGATTGCTGTCAATTTTTATATTTTCCTTGATTCCACTTCCTTTTCACTAGTTTTACCTTGTTTTTGTTTGTCTTGTCCTAACTTTTCTCTTTTTTCATTCTCACAGCTTACAGGCCTCACATCCTCCATCCCTGAAATGATGCTTTGCCATCTCTTCAGTGCTGTGAGTAGCATAAACACTGTACAAAGGAAGGAGAGTTTGTTTTTTTCCATTTTGTAAAAGTGAGCAGTTGAATCAACAGAACATTTGTTTGTGCAGGAAGAGATTTCTGGGAACTCTGACGTTGTACGTCAGTACAAAACAGCCATTTTGAACTCCCCCATTCTCAGCAACAACCAACTGTACTGGAATAGCTACAACAGGTACACAAATATCCAATATAATAATAAATAATAATAAATATAATGCATTAAAATGTATTTCCTCTATTTCTGATAGTATAGATAAAGAAGAATGTATGTTAGACATAATTTTATGTTTTAAATATAATAAAAGTAGTGAGAATGCATTGGACAATGAAAGAGTTAGCAGATTATTTTTTTGTTTTGTTTTTTCATTGATTTTCAATTTATTCACTAAACAGTAAAGTGTATTGAACTGAAAACCAATTTCGCTTGGCCAAAAAAATTCAGCAAAATTCACTACTTCGTGAACAAACCTCATTACATACAAACACATTCATATGACACGTTTTATGTACCTTTTCTATAGTAATGCAACAACAACTAGTACTATAATAGCTACACCAGATGTACAAAATATTGCATACATCTGTAGAGAATGGCACAGCTTAATGAATAAGAATTGTAGCATGTATTTTTCCCCTTTGTCTGTCCATATTGCCAAGTTGTCTTTTTTTTTCTCCTGTAGCCGTCGAGACCTAAACTTAGAGCGTGGAGGAGACCACACTCTAAAGTAAGTATATTTGCTGATTTTTTTTCAAGCCACTTCCTCTGTCACTCTGTGTTATGCTATTCTCACGGATTGTCCCTTCTAGGTGTCCAGTATTGCTAGTGGTCGGTGACCAGGCTCCCCACGAGGATGCAGTGGTTAGTTTGTTACTGTGGGTATTTTGGAAGAAGGGACAATGTTGAGTTCTATATTTTAATTGCATATGTAATTATAGGTGGAATGTAATTCAAAACTGGATCCAATACAAACATCATTCCTAAAGGTAAATGTATAAAAATCTGTGCTTTGTTGTGAGAAATATATGTGTACAGTAGGACAAACATTTGGAAAGTCAAGTCTGTTAGTGTCATACATATTATAAACCAAATTGGGGAAATGTGGTTCTGAAGCAACAACTTCTCAATTATATTTCTTGTAAAATACCATTGATTAAAAAATCTCATGTCTTTTTAACTAAACTAAGGAAAACACATAGAGATGCCCAGGTAAGAAGGAAAAGAAAGATGTTCTCCCTATTTCAATGAAAATAATATTTAAAGAGACAGCTGTAAATTGGAATTAGATGAAAAAGCATATATTGTCATTTAGTTTTTTTTGTGTAATTTTTTTTCAGATGGCAGATTCTGGTGGACAACCACAGATAACACAGGTATATATGGCTCACCAATAACACCTATATGGCCACACACATTACCACCACACTATCATCTCACATAGCTCTACAATTGTAGAGTTCGTAGACAATGAAGTATATTCGAAGCAAGGTCTTGTTACCAGTGGGGTACCTCAGGGACCCATTCTCTTTAATATTTTTATTAGTAATATTGCAGAATGTCTTGATGGTAAGGTATGTCTTTTTGCTGATGATACAAAGATATGTAACGGGGCTCTTTTTACATTTCTGCGGTGTTTGTGTTTAACTGTAATTTTCCTCTTACTCATTTACTGTACCCACACATATTATATAGTGTTTTTCCCGCCATTAAATGGTCTTTCTAAAGATACATTTATTTTCATCATGTTATATAATTTACTATAAAAAAATTATAAAATATGAGGGAAACATTTAAAAAAACACTCTTTCAAATTTTGACCCCCAAAATCTGTTGCGCATCTACAACTGCCAAAAAACACCCATGCTACATAGTTTCTAAATATTGTCCTGGTTTTTAAAATACCAAATGTTAACATGTGCTTAGCTTTTTTTGTGTGCAAGTTATAGGGCAATTAGTACAAGTAGCACTTTGCTATTTCCAAACCATTTATTTTTCAAATTACATTGTAACACTGATATCTGTCAGGAATCCCTGAATAACCCTTCACGTGTATATATTTTTTAAAAGAAGACAACCTAAGGTATTTTAACGCTTTCCTTGCAACCATTTTACCACCAATCTATGCCAAATTAAAAAAATAATTGTTTTGACACACATAGCAATTTAAGAATACATGTACTGAGAACTTTAAGGGTTACTGTCAAAGAACACCCAAATATGTGTTCAGCAACATCTCCTGGGTACAGTGATACCACCCATGTACAGGTGTGTTGGGTTCTCTGGGGCCAAAAGACGCTATTTGGAGGGTGCGTATTCCTGTTTGTAAACTTGGAATTTTCACAGCTGGTCATCAAGCACCCACGTCCCATTTGGGACATTTTTTTGAAGCCGGCCAATGTAATTTACCCACTTCAAACCATATATTTTTGAAAAGTAGACCCCCTACGGTATTTCAAACGGTGGTATTTTAATTAACACTTTCTATGCACTAATTCTGCCACCAGTCTTTGTCAAACTTTTGGGTAATCATTTTTTTGTGTTATTTTTCACACACATTCTACTTTAGGCATTGATTCCCAGCTCCTGTTAGGTGTTACTGCCAAAAAAAACACCCCAAAATGTATTCAGCAACATCTCCTGAGTACAGTGATATCATCCATGTACAGTTGTGCCGGGTTCTCTGGGGGCTAAAAGACCTTAATATAAATATAAGCTTATTTTTATCTATAATTTATATAATTATTTATAATCTGTATCATTGAACTCTCTGTTGTTGTGTTCTTCTTTTAAAACAAAAGATGTTAATTAGTTCGGACAACTGTATGAGTTTCACGACTGCTAGTGTGGTCCTGCACGCAAAACTATGTAACATCTACATAGACAGATCAGAAAAAGACAGAACCTTAGAATCCTTAGAATGGCTGGACTAATAAGGACACATGACATGTGTGACATGTCATAATTCCCTTTTATTCCAGAAGTTTGGTCCTTAAAGGGTTAAAAACAGAGAATGGTCAAGGAATAGCCAAGATCAAGGAAGCCAGAAATACACAATACCGTTAAACGAGCCAAGTCAGGGAAACCAGAAATCAGAATAGTCAGGAATAGCCAAGGTCAATATACCGGGAATAGCAATAATAGGAACAGAAAACGCACTCTTGGGTACCAGGTAGGAAACCACAACAGGGCAATGAACTGGGTAGCTTCAGGGATTTAAATATCCCTCCTTTGACTGTGAGGGTGACCTCTGACCCCAGAACGTGTGTGTGCGTCAAAGCCGTGACGTCACAGGCACGTTCGTATGATCCTCGGGGGCGGGGTTATAAATGGCCTTGACCGCTTGGTTGGTGACATTTTTCTTTAGGGCAGATGGCCACTGAGCTAAGGTAAGCTCAGTTCGTCGGTGTGATCGTGCCGGTCGGGCGCGACCGCACCTCGCCGGGGGCCATGACAATGAGTTGTTTTTTCTAAACTTAAACCTCAGTATTGAGGTTTAATTGCCATGTTGGCACTTTGAGGGAAAAAAAGTTGGAATGTATTGCGGTTTGGGCACTCGGGTTCAAAAAGGTTCGCCATCACTGCCCTAGGGTATTTCAAATGGTGGTATTTTAACACTTTCCATGCACTCATTCTACCACCAGTTTTTGTCAAAACTTTTGGGTAGTCATTTTTTTGTGTTATTTATCACACACATTCTACTCTAGGCATGGATTCTCAGCTCCTGTTAGGCGTTACTGCCAAAGAACACCCCAATATGTGTTCAGCAACATCTCCTGTGTACAGTGATTCCACCCATGTTGGGTTCTTTGTGGGCTAAAATACTTTATTTGGAGGGTGCGCATTACAGTTTTCAATTTGGAATTTTCACAGCTAGTCATCATGCACCCATGTCCTATTTGGGACATTTTTCAAGCCGGCCAATGTAATTTACCCCATCAAACCATATATTTTTTAAAAACTACTTTTTGGTAGTCATTTTTTGGGGTAGTCAATTTTTTGTGTTATTTTTCTCTCGCATTGCACTTTAGGTATGGAATATGTGTTCAGCAACATCTCCTGAGTACAGTGATATCACCTATGCATAGGTTTGTTGGGTTGTTTGGGGGGTGCAATGCCAAACTTTTGACATGTGTTTGTTTTCTGGTCTTGAGCGTGCATATATTTGAAAAGTTGCCACCCCACTGTATTGTACATGGAGTGTTTTGATGCCTTTGATGCAATGGTTTTTTTCAATTTCCATTTTTTAGGGGAGCCTGTTGTTGGTTATTGCAAGAAAACACTCCAGGTTGTTTTCTGCAAGGCCTCCTGAGTACACTTATGCATAGGGTAAACGTAAGGCACTCAGCACAGGCAGATCATCGGAAGCCTGCCCGATGGCTTCCGATGCTCTGCTTAACTGCCGGGCACCACGTGGAGCAACCCGGGGGAGCGATCACCCGGTGCCCTGCAGTAAGGAGAGGTATTGCACAATGTCTCAACATCGCTGCAATACCATCAGAGTGGCTGGAAGCGATCGTGATTAGCTGCGGATGTATCAGGTACGACCGCAGTCCTTAAGGACCATTTTTTCTGTTGGACGTATCTGATACCTCCGCGGTCGGGAAGAGGTTAAAGGATCTTAGTATATATTGCTTGGAGGAAAGATGAGACAAGGGGGATATAATAGAAACATTTAAATACATTTAAATATATAAAAGGAATCAACACAGTAAAGGAGGAGACTATATTTTTAATAAGAAAAACTACCACAACAAGAGGACATAGTCTTAAATCAGAGGGGCAAAGGTTTAAAAATAATGTCACAAAGTGTTACTTTACTGAGAGGGTAGTGGAAGCATGGAATAGTCTTAAGTTGTCGAGGTTAACACAATGAGGGAGTTTAAGCATGCATGATATAGGCATAAGGCTATCCTAGATATAAGGTAAGGCCAGGGACTTATGAAGGTGTCTTGAAAATTGGGCAGAATAGATGGGACGAATGGTTCTTATCTGCCGTCACATTCTATGTTTCTATGTACAATGCACCACACGCGGACAGAAAAAACTCTACAGAAGGATGTGATAAATATATTCCATATTTTTGACGTTACTGTCATTTTTACTTCTCTTGCTGCAAGGTTGACAATATCCATTACACACAATAAAAAGTACACAATACTTAACGCAGACTGCAACTTAGTCATACAATGTGGCTTAATTTCTAACCTTGTTTTAGCGTCTCTAAATCTATTCCTTATCTTCCTCCTTTCCCTGTTTAATGCACCACCCTACCTTCCCTTCATCTTAACCTAGTCATTGCTTTTTCCAACACTAACATTCCATCTATTTCTTTATTTCTTCCTTTCCTTATATTTCTCTTATTACTCTTTCTCTCCCTCCCTTCATTTTTCTCTTTGTCTATCCCAATGTAGCCAGGAAAACTGACAGAGGCATTCAAATACTTTGTTCAAGGAATGGGATACAGTGAGTATTACTGACATTTTTAACCAATGTTCAATCTATCTTGTTCACACTGTCCCATCAATCTTACCATTGATTTTTTGTGTGTGTGTATTTCACAATCCTGTTATGTTTTCCCAAAATAACGTTAAACTGTGTATGGTCAATTAATTGTATGACCTCCAAATACTTGGTGTTTTATCCCACAGTGTTTTATGACCTGATAGATCGTAAGGGCTTTTAGTGCTGATAGTTTAAATGATATATGTACATCAATCACAGGATACGCTCCTCCTGGCTAAGAAAGAAACTAGTTATACTATAAATGTTTATCCCTCGTGTCCTTAGTGTTTTACTTCTGCCTACCTACTGCGTAGAGCCCTGACCTAAAGTTGTACAGTTTTTTCTTTCAATATTTTTTAATGAAGGTATTATTTTGGCTTTTTTCTCTCTATATATAGATATATATAATTTTTTTTAAATCTTGCTTATTGGGAGAGACCCCCGGTATTGTCATAGGACATCTTATTTGGCAGCTTTGGGTCTCACATATAGGAGACTATCAACTCTTCTCTATATCTGCACCACGTAGCCTCTGTACATTGCATTGAATTCATAATATTCTGATCATGAACCCAAAAATAGTGTAACACGGGATCCTCTTCTAAGAAAACAAATCTTTTGCAAGTGAACATTAAAGTATTTCTTTTTGGTGTAGTAATATATATATATATTCTAATTTATCCACCCCACTAAATACCATTGAAACATTTACTAGGTTATGGTATTCAATGTGGGATAGTAGAAACAAAGATAAATTAAGGTCAACCTCCAAACCACATCTTTTTATAATGTTGGTTCAAAAGGAGGCAAAAAAAACAAAACAAAACAACAATTTCAAGTGATGGCCAATTATGCCACAAAAAGAGAAATTTGACTCCTTAATGGCAATCAGATTTCTCCTTGGTTCAAAAACAAATTCAAATACATATTTACTATATCCTTGTATGCCTTTCTTCCAGTCTCAATGGGTGACCTCTTTTCTGTTGTATTTTTCTAAGAGGTTAGCACTTTGCGGTTTGTACTGAACCTATATATATATATATTTGTATAGATATAAGTTCCCATCTGAGATGCCTTTTTTAAAGAAAAAAGATAAATGCCGTGTTTTAGCCTTTCTTCATAACTAATGTTTCCCATCCCAGTTATTACTTTTGTAGCTCACCTCTTCACATTTTCTAGTCCTGTATTATCCTTCTTTAAAACCAGTGTAAAAAATGGTGGGGGTCTTACCTTTGATTTATAAAGAGGCTCAGTTATATCATTATATTTGATTATGTGAATCAATACTCCTTTTTATACATGGCAACATCTTACTAGCGTTTGCAGTGGCAGACCTGAATTGCACACTGTTGCCTAGTTTTTTTAATCTATCATTGTTCCCAAGTTCTTTTCATTTATGCCTAACTCAACCTTGTCTAATGTATAAGATGATTTGGTGTTCCTTATTCCAAAATACCTCCTCCTTAAGTTCCCAGTGATGGGCATCATCATCTTCAGATGCTGTGCTCAGTTGTTTTTGCAGCAGACTGGCAAAATATGCATGTTCAGATGATTCAAGAGAGCCACACACAGATGCAGAATCATGGCTTTATTGAAGATTACTTGAGGCCATCTGGTCTCAAAAACATGTCAAAATTCTAGAATCTGCTTTTTTACAATTGTAAAAAGCCTGTTAGACGCAGGATCATGGAAATTTCTAAACTTCTATTTTCACAATATGGGCATAACATGTGCAACCCAGAAAATATCTACAAGGCAACAGAATGGTAGAATGTATATACCTTCTCTCAATATTTCTGGTTTTGAATACTTATTATTTTATTTTATTTTTATTTATTCAAATATAAGAGGAACTTATATTATGTATCATAGTATAGAATGATGATTAAAGAACACAAATTGTCTGTGAAAATTACGGTTTTCTTGCACCATTTGCTTTGTATATATTTCACCTGTCTATTTATTGGGAAAGTATTAGGGTTGTTATGTCCTGCAATATGTATAGCATAGAGACTATCATGATATGTCTCAATCTCTTTTTGTAAATCACCTCTGTCAAGATTCTCCACCTATACTGCTCAGTTCCAGCAGTTCTTATGTGTTTTGCTGTCTCTTGTTTCCAGTCCCCCACATCCTGGATAAGAAGCGCAATACGGGGTGAAGTATTTTTGTTAAGAAGATCTCCCAATCACCCCGTCCTCTCACGGTCTTAACTCGCTATATACCTTATAAAACCCAATGTCTCACTGGGTCCATGGCATGAGACACCCCTCTCACCTTCTGTGTTTCTCTATATTATTGTTTATATAGCTCCTGGTGTAATTATTATTCCCCTTAATGCCAGATGAGCTTTCAGTTCATTGTAAACCCCTCTGGCTAAAAAGAAGATACTTATTTTTATTCATAATATATATTTTCCTTATGCTTTTTCACCCTACACCTGGCAGCATGACTAACCCACTTTAAACTGCTGACAACTATTGTTCAACCTAAGTTTGCAAGATCCCACTTCTACACCAACTTGTTATGTCTATATATGATTGTCACCGTGATTTCATGTTTTTATAACTTACAATGTGGCCGTGGCACAGTTCTACGTTCTTAACATAATTTCAACATTTACAAGAGGGGAAAACATTTAAAGCGAGTTTACAGCTAAAAAATGAAGTAAATGTTTTTCCTTTCTAGGCTGATGATACCAGTCAGCTCATCAGCCTGCATACTTCACCCAGATAACATTATAGAATCTTGTAGTATGTCTCAATTTTGCAGATTGACTGGAATGGTATAAAACAATCCAATGGTGATATAATCTGGGGAAATACCAAAGGAGTATTGCAGAGCAAGGTAGACTATTACAAATAATTATTTAAAGTAGAGTTGCAGGTAAGATACTGCTCAGCTTATAAGAGTAAATGGTTTCAACATAACTTAACAGTAATGGAACAGCTACAGGTACATCTATAAAAACCTGATCACTTAGATAATTTATCTGTCCTTCAGCAGATATAAATTTCACCACCAGCTTTATCAGAATTGTGTGTATGTATCTATGTATGTTTTTGTGTGACCAAGCAATGTAAAGTAACAAGATATGATTGTCTTTTTGGTATTCAGTTATTTGTTCCAACTACGAAGTTGCATTTGATCTAAACAATTAGATATGTAGGTTGAATTCATTTTAAAAAGATGATTAATTATATTTCTCTTCTACCTTTCCCTAACTTTTTTAATTGCAGTGGCTTCCTCGTGTATGACTCGTCTCTCTCGCTCCAGAACCGCCTCTCTCTCCAGCGAGGGGAATCGTTCACGCTCTCGTACTCTGTCCCAGAGCAGCGAATCGGGGCAAAGCCCTCCCGGGACCTTCACGGAGGTGACCTGCTGAAAGGCCGTGAAGCTGGCGACCAGTGATTGCCATGCCACCCTCACCACATGTGAGGGGGCTGAGCATTTATCTGTCCCATGGGGGTGGAGCTAATGATGCTAATTAGAAAACTAAAACCAAACCTGCAAGTCACATGGGTGATTACCAGATGTCTGTATCTGTCCATCCTTCCTCCTGTTCTGCCTTTTCACTCCCTTCTTCCATTCTGTCTCCATTGATACTATAATATACCATTTTTATTTGTCTTTATTACTTACTGCAACAAACTGGTTTTGTAATACTGAAAAAACAGATTGATGAAAACAAAAACAGTTTCCTTCTCCCACCATAGGAAAATATTTGTTTAAAGTATTTTTATTTGAGAAGGTAATACAAAATCAACACATTAAAGCTTTTAGTTTGATGCAGTTGATCCCCTTTCTCTCTTATCCCACTTTATCTTGTCCTTCCAAGACAGACTACATGACAACTTGTCACTTCTCCTATCTGTGTCTTCATCTTGTCATTAAGGCATTCTTATTACCTTAACTGGCCTACCCATCCACCCTCCCTTGCACATTAAGATAAGTTGTCATGTGGGGTAACATCACCTCCTAACACTCTACACAAAATAAATGGAGGGGGACTCAGAAAGATATCAATGGTCCAACCACTGGAGTACTAACTTAGTGCATAGTATTTGGGGTCACTAAACGTAGCAACACAGTGCAGAACTCTGACGCATGATGGGTGTTTCTCCTACTGTGTCTGACAGATGCCTTGGAGCTGCTGTATTTAAAATCACCATCATCTCCTTGATCTTCCAGTAGGATGTTTAACTGACCCCTTACCTTGTAGTAAGATTTCCTTTCTGCTGTTCACTCAGGTCACTTCTATGAGTCTTAGGGGAATGGCTTTAAATAAACTAGACCTTGGTTTTCACATATAAAAACATGTAGATAAAGCACAAGATAGGAAACTTTAGGGGATCAGGTGGGAAATGACCACTGGGAAAAAGTGTTGAAATATTCTTGGGATACAGGTATTAACTACTTTCCGCCTTGTTTAACCCCTTAAGGACCAAACCTCTGGAATAAAAGGGAATCATGACATGTCAGACATGTCATGTGTCCTTAAGGGGTTAAAAAAACAATCTGTCAGGAATCCCTTTGTTGTCCATTGGACTTTATTTGGTATTTCTGTGATGTATCTAGCACAGTGTTTTAATCTTTCAATTTCGGATTCCATGATAGACATTGGAACTAAGATGAATTTCTCAAAAGCAGCCAGCCCAAGACATGTTTTTTGTTTACTCCCCTCCCAGTAATATGTAAAATATATATTTTTTTGTTTAAGATAAGTTTGAGGGAGAACCTTTTGGGCTGTAACAACTGGGACATGTGTATGTTAAGCTACATGGCTTGAAGTGGGATGTAATTTAAAATGATCCTGCCATTTAGAAGGGTTAATGTGGGACATATGTCATATATGTGCTTTTAAATGTAAACCACATTCTGCATTAATGTGGTAAAAAGTTAATTGAAACATACTGAAAGTGACATTTTAGAGATCCTGCATTAAAGTTACCTGTCATGGTCTGTGCTTCTAAAACTTGAAACTTAATTGACTGTTCACTGTGCACCCCCTGCACACTGCTTTCTATTTAAATCTTCCATAATTGAAAACAGATTAAAATAAATCTAGCATCAGAATACTGAATAGCTGCATTATAAGTAACTTTAAGTGGTATAAGATAATGTTATCTGACATTGCAGTGTCTATTTTTAGAAAATACTGTATTGACTCAATTATAGGACACAATGCTGTCCTTTTGTTTAATTAGTTACAAGCTTGAAGCTTATAATTGGGCATTAATATTTTAGGATTTTAGGATATTATAGATTTCCGAAACTCCATACAATTACAGTTTCAGTTACCGTTCTGTTCTGTGTACACTATGGCAATTTGAGATGTTATACCAGAACACAGTATCTCCTGTGCTAACCTTAACCACATCCAGAACACGTGTTACAAAAAGTAATAGGAATGTGTTAACACTTTGACCCTGCTGGAAGGAAAGCAGGACATTTTAAGGAATCTGTTAATGGTAAGGAGGCTTTAAAGGGGGGAATATAATGAAAGAGGAGGATTCCAAACTGTAAGAGGAAGAATGAGAAATATGGGCACTATTAATCGTGGGGAGGGAATTAAATGAAAAAACATTACAGACAAATCTTAAGTTAAAATGGGGGTAATCAATAACCAAACCAAAATCGTGAAATATTAATTGCCACTTTATAGGGTTGCAAACAGTAAAAGGCTCTAATAAACACCATTTTACAATTCCAAAAATCATCCCCAGCAATCACCATGTGTCAGAATCTGTTATCAACTTACTTACTTTCTGGCAGATCAAGATGATGATTTAAAAATCAAGGTTGAAAAAAAATATATATTAAACTTAAGTGTGTACTTATATTTACTGTGACAAAACATTACTGTACATTTTCATGCTAGATACTCTGAACGTTATCTACTCATAATTCAAACTAAGCTACATAATATCCGTATTATTGTATGGTGGGTTGCATTACTTCTAGCACTATATGACTCACACTCTATATGATAAAAGTAAGGAAATGCAATTAAAGTTATGAAGTTGGAAGGTGACTCTACAAAGCAGCATCTGAGCTGTGAGCATTGTCGTTCTACCATTAGCGCTAAATAAAACTTCCTTGCACTTCATTTAACACCTTTCTGTTGACTTTATAGCTTCTCTCTGCAATGTTGATTACTATATACAGTCAAAGCTGCCAAATAATTACAATAGTAACCGTAATGCCCCTTCAAATGCAGCTCTCTCCTTAGGACACCTTATGATACTCGATTGACCTTTTCCCTTGTTACAATCTAGGAGAGCATCTTAACTTTCTATACAAGAGTTGGCGAGCAAAAGATTAGAAAATCTGCAAAACAAAAAAGCATTGGGAACACACATTTTGAAGGCTTTCATTTACTTGAGTGGGTGCAGCTTTTGAGTTTTGGGGACAGAGGCTAAGACTTCATTTGAGGCTAAAAAGCAGCTCCATGACTTCAGCTTGGATATTAGGAGAGTGGATTGATAGTTAGATGGGAGCTTCCTGCGTAGGATTCACTTTATTGCTCTCTTTGATATTTTTATTTCTGTTAGTTTTATTTTTTTCCTGACACTGAAAAATAAAACTGATTAAACAAACTGGTCTTTGAAATGCTTTGTGAATGTATTACGTAAGGCTTAATGTTATAAAGTTATGTACAATAAAGTAAGTCCCCAGAGTAGGCACATAAAGTATTATACTCCATTGGGTTATGTTTTTCATTTCCCTTTCCTGTTTTGTGGATTACTTTTTTTTTGTGGACTTCTTTCGTTTTTCTCCTTAGCTATGCCTGCTGTTTTTAATCCCTGCTATGTAAATCAGATTTTAGGCAACTAACCATCAAAAAATTATTTACTCTAGTGGCACTGCATTCCTTAATTCGCACTGTTATGAGTCTGTGGAAGGGTTTTTGTTGGATTTATTTTGTTATGCACTATATTACATTTGAAGAACAGGTCACTGAGCTAATTTTGTAACTCAATAATGAGTCACCAAGCTATTGCCATGCACATAATTTGGGTCCCATTCAAAAAAGATTAAAGTAGAATAGTCACATGTTTATTGCTCAGCCTGATAGCTAAGTAAAAGCTATGGGCTGTTGGGTTGCGCAAGAAAGAGAAAAAAAAATCTGCACCATTTTGATTTTGTTTAATTTATATTGTATGGCTAGTCATCCTAGTAAAACCAATGCATATCTTAGAAAATAATTTAAACCTCTGATGATGATGCCAAACATGCAGGTATATTAACAAGTATGGGCTCTTGAAAGCATGGGTGTTCTCTCATGCACTAATGCAGCAGATCTCAGAATATACCCAAGTGAGTATGAGATTACCTAGTGCATCATGGGGCAACAATTTCGGCCTGCAAATGGAATTGCTATAGAAACATGTTCTTTTTCTTATCTTCACTGCAACATTGTTTACGGAGGTGAATCGTGAAGCTAATAAAACAACTTGTCAATTGTCCATTTTGTTTGTTTCATGAGCCATATGGTGCTTCAGAGATATGGAATTCAGATTTATTGTTTATCATCCAAAATTCCAAAGAATCACAAAAAGGAACTTTGTAACTCTTCCTGTCAGTAAGACCGGTGCAAATATCTTTGTCGAAGATGCATTTTTTTGTCTCTTAACCGACTTTTGAATATCTTAACCCCTTTAGTGTATCTGTATGTGTGTGTCATCAGGTCACCTTGCACCTTATGGTAGTACTCGCCCTCTCATTCTGTCCATTCAGCTATGTCTGTTAAGAAAATATATACATCTCAAAATACATAATATTGAATTTCCATATATAGATGACAACGATAAAATCAGCAGGCATCTAAAAAAGAGAAATGCAAATATACATAGTGTAATCTGTATATAAATATGGGAGTGCTAAATAATATGGATAAACTCACAAGTAAAGAGACGTAACAGGCTCTGTATAGACAGCTTCAAGGTGCCAATACTGGCTTTGAGGAGCTGGCCGCTTTGCAATATCGCAGTTTAGGAACCCTCTTACTCGGGCGGCATGTGCCTACTCTGCCCAAATGTACTGCCTCCAGAGAAAGAATGATCTTCATGTTCTTCCAGCATTGCTCCCTTGCATGCCCTGTGGTGATGTCAGAAGCCAGGACATGACATAACTTCTCCCCAACATCACTAAATGGTGTGCAAGGGAGCAGTGCTGGAAGAACATGAAGAGTATACCAGGCCCATTGGACCCAAGGGACAGATCAACCCCAGCACCACTTGATCCCGGGGAGAAGACATCACCAGGTCTCTCACAGGTAGGTAAATAAGAATTAAAAAACCCTATATATAAATTAATTAGTAAATGTGTGTGCGTCTCGGTGAGTGTATAGATCAGTGACAATGTGTTTGTGAAATAGACACTGGCACACACATTGTCACTGATACACAGTGGGGTTTTATTATTATTTATTTGGATGTGTTACTGCACACTACCAAACACCCTGAGGAAGTCCTATACACAGATGAAAGGCGTAGGACCCCTGGTGGTGACTCAGCGCTAGTACACCCATTGCTTTTAACTTTGATGTAAGTGATTAAATTGATTTTTTATTATACACTTGATTGTGCACTACAATTTTATTTTTCTCTCTTGAGTACATACACTCCAGCCAACCCATGGTAATTTGAGTACAGATTGAAGATTTAATTCTTGGAGGGAATTTATACTGAAGGCACTTAAATTTCAGTGAATATGTGAGTGGCTGTTTATGAATACAACACTTGTGGCTTATTCATATACACAGTTATACGCTATATTTTTCTGTTTGTTATTGGCTTAGCAGATCATCCCCTATTTTTTGCATATATTTCATGTAAGACAGGAGGAAGTCTGTGGGGGTACCTTTGGAAGCTTCAACTTGTACAGGGAAGTTTCTGTCTGCTAATATCTTATTTTGCACTAATTGCACTTTGTGTACACACTTATTGTGTATTTTCTGCATCTGTATGTATGTCAGTATGTATGTGTATGTATGACAGTATGTATGCATGCATGTATGCATGCCTGTATGTATGTGTCTGTAAGAAAGTATGTATGTATGTATCTGTATGTCAGTATGTATGCCAGTATATATGTATCAGTATGTATGTCACATACATACATACATATATACGTCAGTGTGTGTGTGTGTTTGTCAGTATGTATGTGTATGTATGTCAGTATGTATGTGTATGTATGTCAGTATGCATGCCTGTATTTATGTATGTGTCTGTATGTATGTATACCAGTATGTATGTATGTGTCTATATATCAGTATGTATGTATGTATCTATCTGTATGTTTGTCTGTGTCTATATGTATGTATGCATGTATGTATGTCAGTATGTATATATATGTGAGTGTGTGTATGTATGTATCTCTCAGTATGTCAGTATGTATGTATGCCAGTGAGAGAGTGTGTGTGTGTGTCAGTATGTATGTTTGTCAGTATGTATGTATGTCTGTTTGTCAGTATGTATGTGTGTATTTATATGTGTGTATGTCAGTATGTATGTATGTCAGTGTGTGTGTCTGTATCTCTTTATGTATGTGTGTGTGCATGTATGTATGTGTCTCTGTGTCCTTTTGTATCCGTGTGTGTGTCTGTGTTTGTGTCTGTGTGTGTATTCCTATGGGTGGGATTGTGAGCCGGGCACCCGGGGGCCAGACTTTGAGTTGTATTAGGGGCCCCAAAATTTTTGATGGCGGCCCTGTGTGTGTCTGTCAGTAAGTTTGTGTGTATCTGTCAGTGAGTGTGTGTGTGTCAGTGTGTTTCTGTCAGTGAGGATGTGTATGTCAGTGAATGTACATCAATGTATGTGTATCTGAGAGTGTGTGTGATATTGAGTGTATGCCACTGTGTGTCTATCAGTGAGAATGTGTGTGTCTGACAGTGAAAGTAAAACAGTGTGTGTTTGTCCATGAGTGTGTGTCAGTAAGTCTATGTCAGTCAGGGTCGCCATTAGGGGGTGACAACCATGACGATTGTCACAGGCCCCCACTTCGCAATGTGATGTGCTCATAACAGCTGCGGAAACACATCTGGCACGCTGGCATCAATGACCATGCCCCCTACATTATACAGTGCCCCCTGTGTGTATTATCCCTCGCAGGGCCTATTAATTTGTGCCATGAGCAGATTTGGCGCGTCAAGAGCACCAAATCTGCCAATAGCCCAAATTAATAGACCCACTGTACCATCATGGAAAGAATTGTTGCCCCTGTAGGAGGCCAAAACAATATATATTAAATGCATTTTTAATCACTTTGGGGAGACTGTGTTTAACACAGACTCCCTACATACTGTCACACATACTCCTCACATATAGCCACCCCGCTCCCTGCCACACACCCTATCACATTCCCCTCACTCTTTCACACTAACCCCCCGAACCCTGTCACTCTAACCCTGTAACACTCATTTTTTCACACTAGCCCCCTAACCCAGTCACACTAACCCTGTCAAACTAATCCTGTCACACTAACCCCCCTAACCATGTCAAACTAGTCCTGTCACCTTAAGCCCCCTAATCCTGTCACATAAATCCTGTCCCACTAGTCCCCCCTAACCCTGTTACACCAATCCCCTCACACGAGACCCCTAACCCTGTCACACTAACCCCCCCTAACCCTGTCACACTAACCCTGTCAAACTAATCCTGTCATACAAACTCTCCTAGCCATGTCAAACTAATCCTGTCACACTAAACCCCTAACCCTGTCACAATAATCCTGCCCCACTAGCCCCTCCTAACCCTGTTACACCAATACCGTCACTCTAAACCCCCCAAACCTTGCCACACTAACCCCCCTAACCCTGTAACACTAATCCTGTCACACTAACTCTGTCAAACTAGACCCCCTAACACTGTCACAATAACCCTGTCCCTCAAACCCAGTCACTGTAACCCCCTAACCCTGTCACACTAACCCTCGAATACGGTCACGTTAACACTGTCACACTAATCTTTTCACACTAATCCCTCAACCCTGTTACACTAATCTTGTCAAACTCACCACCTTCCCACAATCACTTACCACACTCATGCACCCAAAAAAATCCCACTCACTCCCCCCCACCCTGTCATGCTCACTCCCTAACTGTGGCATGCACACCTGCTCCTCAAAACCTATCACACTTACCCAACTGATGTCTGTGTGAATGTGTCAGTGTATGTATCTGTGTGTCATTGTGTGTATGTGCCAGTGTGTGTGTATCTCTGTGTATGTGTCAGTGTTTGTATCCGTGTCTCTGTATTTGCATGTATGTTGGTGTGTGTCTGTGCATGTTTATCAGTGTGTGTGTGTGTGTATGTTTATATCTGTGTGTGGCAGTGTATACACTACATACAAATGCACACTTGCATTCAAAACCAACATTCACACACACACACACACTCCATACAAAAACATGCTTATGTTCAAACACACAAACACTGCTCAGTGCTAAACACAACCCTGCAAAGATGGGCAAATTGTAGATCCCCAGCTAGCAAAGCATTGTGGGACTTGTACGACAGATTTGGATCTACATTTTGGCCACCCTTGTGCTAGAGGGCATCCTAAAACAAAATTTTTGCACAAGCAAACTCTATACATCAGTTCCAGCACTGCCCTTGCAGGTGCTCGGCAGTTTGTACAGTGAAGAGGGGGCACAGCACATGCAATCTCAAATTCCATAAGCTCTTTACAACTCTTGCGAGCCCCTGGCTGTCAAAGTGTTGCCGCGGGTTACCATGGCAACCCTCCAGGTGACACGCAGACTGGACTCACAAGAGTTAGAGAGAAGAGCTGCCAGAAGCTAAAGATCATGTTGGCTGCACCCCTATTCAATACACAGCACCTGGAATCCTGCACAATGCCACCAGGGAGTGAAATGTCCACCGTCCCTGGTCACATCTATGAGGTATGAAGGGGGGGAATAAAAATAGTAAACTAATATTTAAATTTAAAAAAAAACACAGAATATCCTACCCCACATATATACACACACACACCACATCCACTTTACACACACTGTACCCTCTACACAAACACATACATCATCTTCAAGTTCATCTTTGTGGCAGATTCAAGGCGGGCACTGTGGGCAGATTCAGGGGCAGGCCCTGTTGTCTGACTTGGGGGTGGGACCCAAGAGCCTAGATCTTGAGCTGTGTTAGGGGCCCCAAAATGTCTGATGGCAGTCCTGATGTCAGTGTATGTGTATCGGAGAGAGTGTGTGTCTGTCAGGGAAGGTGTGTGTTGGTTAAACAGTGTGTACCAATGAGTGCATTTATGGGTCTATATTAGCATGTATGCTTAAAAGAATGAAAATGTTTAATGAAAACACATAATATATACATGTCATCTATTTCATCTATACATTTCATCTATACATTGTGCTAACAAAAATGCTAGCAAATATATAGATTTTAACTTAAAGTCCTTTACATGGCACAAAAGGTCTAATGCCATAGATT